GGTCTGAAACAGCTGCTCTGGGAGTCACTGGCTGAGAGGCTGTGGCCTGGGTTAGCTACAGGATCATAATGGCTCCTTCTGTCCAGAAAAGCCAGGACCCTAGAACACACATAAATAACACTAGTGAAATCTCTGTGCACGTTCGGAGTGGGAACAATTCAAAGCTCCAGCCTGATTCCGAGCCATGCTGAGCTCACCTCCCTGCAAAGAGATGTCGTGACCCTGCTCTTGCCTTTCTCTAGCCCCTTGGTGCCAATGGTGAGCTGGCTGTACGTGGGGAAGCCAGTGACAGAGGGCATTCACCGGGGGGGACAGGACAAGTGCCGTTAGCTTCTCCATTATCCCGTCCCCATGATGAAGGGCGGGGTTGTAGCCTGGGTGCTGAGGCTAAGACAATAAACCAGGACATTTTTGCAGCACTCCAGATTTGATGCGTGTCTACATTACCCTCCATATGTATGTATGTGAAATGCCACCTCACCCTGCCACTTCTGGGGTGGAGCATGGCAGCTGCTGAACAATGCAAAGGAAAACTACATAACAGGGTGAAAAATGCCAACCCCAGCTGGGCGTGCGGGGGCTGTTCTCGGAAGGCTGAATGTCGCATTGTTGTGGCTCTCCGAGTAGCACCCCTGTTGTGCTGGGCTCTGCACGTACGAAGCTGCAGCCCCTGCCCTGCAGAACTTGCAGACTGGACAGGAAAACAAGGGTGGGAGAAAGGGGTCTGGGGAGCACAGTGAGCTGGGCCCTTGCTAGGAGGGGCGGGTTGAGACTGGAGTTTGGAAGGTCACTCCAAGCACAGGGGAAAGCATGGCATCACCTGCAGGAGAGCAGGGGCCTTTGGCTGCCTGTGGAACAGAAAGCTGCAGCAAGTTACAAGAAATAGGAATGGAGTTGCTGACAAAATCATCAATTACAAGCTGTTACATAAAGAGTTGTAAGTGTGGGATGCGGGAGGGGAAGGCTTAAAGCTGTCACTTCTCTAGATGGCCGTTGTGTAGATGGATACTGTATCTAGGTGTCTGGGAATAGAAATATTCAGCCTTTTTATAGTTTAAACTTTATAGCTGAATTTGTTTATAGTAAATATCTTTTGAGAGACAGAAACATGAAACTCATAGGGATCTGGGGCAAAAATTGGGGATTGGTCCTGCTTTGAGCAGGGGGTTGGACTAGATGATCTCCTGAGGTCCCTTCCAACCCTGATATTCTATGATTCTATGAGAGCCAGAAACGTGTGTCCTACAGACCCTGCTGCTTCCTGTGTCTGTCTGCCCCAGTCCCGTCTGACATCATCCCGACCTGCCACTCCTGCAGATGCCTCCGTAGCCCCTTTGCTGTCTCTGAGTTGCCCCAGAAACGTGGGTGTTCACGCTGCAGAGAGGAATCCCACCACAGGGGCACTCACCTGCAGGAACAGGTAGTGTGGCCCCCCCCAGGCCTTTGTCATAAGAACGGCCAGACTGTGTCAGACCAATGGGGCAGCTAGCCCAGTGTCCTGTCCTCTGACGGGGCCAGGGCCAGGTTCTGCAGAGGGAATGAACAGAACAGGGCAACTATCGAGTGATCCAGCCCCTGTCATCCAGTCCCAGCTTCTGACCGTCAGATTTAGGGACACCCAGAGTGTGGGGTTATGTCCCTGCCTAGCCTGGCTAATGGACCATCCTCCATAGACTGATCTAATTATTTTCTGAACCCAGTTATACTTCTGCCTTCACAGCACCCCCAGCAAGGAGTTCCACAGGTTGACCGTGCGTTTCCTTTCCTTTGTGTTAAACCCACTGCCTATTCATTCCATTGGGTGACCCCTGGTTCTCGTGGTATGTGAAGGGGTAAATAACACTTCCCTAGTCACTTCCTCCACACCAACCATGATTTCATAGACCTCTGTCGTATCCTCCTTAGTTGCCTCTTTTCTAAGTTGAAGTCCCAGGCTTTGTAATCACTCCTCCTATGGAAGCCATTCCAGACCCCTACTCATTTCTTTTGCCCTTCTCTGTCCTTTTTCCAATTCCAAGAGATCTTTTTTTGAGATGGGGTTACCAGACCTGCACATAGTATTCCAGCTGTGGGAGTGTACTATGGATTTATACAGTGGCATTATTCCACTTTATTATCTATCCCTTTCCTAATGGTTCCTAACACTGTTCACCTTTTTGACGGCTGCTGCACATTGAGCAGACGTTTTCAGAGAACTCTCCACAATGACTCCAAGATCTGTCTTGAGTGTCACAGCTAATTTAGACCCCATCATTTTGTAAGTATAGCTGAGATGACGATTTCCAATGTGCATTACTTTGCATTTATCAACACTGAATTCCATCTGCCCTTGTTGCCCAGTCACCCAATTTTGGGAGATCCTTTTGTAGCTCTTTGAAGCAAAAGAGTAACTGTTTGGAGGTAACCATCCTGAGTAATTTTATATTGATTGCAAATTTTGACACCTCACTGTTCACCCCCTTTTGCAGATCACTAATGAATATGTTGAACAGCACTGGTCCTAGTACAGATTTTTGGGGACCCCCCTATTTACCTCTCTCCACTGTGAAAACTGACCATTTATTCCTACCCTTTGTTTCCTGTTTTTTAACCCATTACTGATCCATGAAAGGACCTTCCCTCTTCTCCCGTGATGGCTTAGTTCACTTAAGAACCTTTGGTGATGAACTTTGTCAAAGGCTTTCTGAAAATCTAAGTACACTCTATCCACTGGATCCCCCTTGTCCACATGCTTGTTGACCCCCTCAAAGAATTCTATCAGATTGGTGAGGCCTGAATTCCCTTTACACAGTCCATGTTGACTCTTCCCCAACAAATCACGTTCATCTGTGTGTCTCATAATTCTATTCTTTACTATAGTTTCAACCAGTCTGCCTGGTACTGAAGTTAGGTTTACTGGCCTGTAATTGCCGGGATCGTCTCTGGAGCCTTTTTAAAAAATCACTGTTACATTAGCTCTCCGCCAGGCATCTGGTACTGAGGCGCATTTAACCGATAGGTCACATACCACAGTTAGTCGTTCTGTGATTCCATATCTGAGTTCCTTCAGAACTCTTGGGAGATACCACCTGGTCATGGTGACTTATTACTGTTTAATTGATCAATTTGTTCCAAAACCTCCTCTACTGACAGACACCTCAGTCTGGGACAGTTCCTCATTTTTGTCACCTAAAAAGAATAACTCAGGTGTGGGAATCTCCCTCACAACCTCACAGATGCAAAAAATTAATGTAGCTTCTCTGCAATAGCCTTGTCTTCCTTGAGTGCTCCTTTTAGCACCTTGGCTGTTCAGAGGCCCCACTGGCTCTTTGGCAGGTTTCCTGCTTCTGATATACTTCCAGAAAAAATTCCTTTAGTTTTTGTGTCTTCTGCTAGTTGCTCCTCAAATTCTTTGTTGGCTTGCCTTTTTATACGTTTACATTTGGCTTGCCAGAGTTTACACTCCTTTCTCTTTTCCTCAGTAGGGTTTCATTTCCATTTCCCCATCAATGTGACCTGCTCTGTCACGCCTGTAGATTTTGTACCCTGACGTTACTGTCTCCCACTGATGACTGTCATTCCACCAAGTTTCTGTGATGTCTGTTATTTCAGTATCTCATTTAATACCAGGCCCTCAAATTCACCCATCTTAGTATTTAAACTTCTAGCATTTGTACACAAGCACTTCTAAAATTTGTTAAAATGTAGTTGTCTGCCTTCATGTGATGTAATCGAATGGGACTCTTTTTTGTTTGACTGTTTCTCTTCAGTTCCCACCTCTACTTTATACTTCCATCCTCTCCTCTTAACGAGGATGCAGAGTATCCCCTTTAATAAATCCTCCCTTAATGGATGTCTGGCAAACCATGTGCTCCTCTGCACCTATCGGCTTTCCCCCAGCCCTTAGTTTAAAAACTCCTCTGTGACCTTTTAAATTTTCCATGCCAGCAATCTGGTTCTGCTTTGCTTTAGGTGGAGCCCATCCTTCCTGCATAGGCTCCTCCTTTCCTAAAAGGTTCCCCAGTTCCTAATAAACCCAAATCCCTCCTCCAAACAGCACCGTCTCCTCCCTGCATGGAGACCCTGTATGGAGACAGCTCTGCCTGTCTGTCTGGCCCTGCGCATGGAACTGGAAGTATTTCAGAGAACGCTGCCATGGAGGTCCTGGACTTCAATCTCTTAATCTAGCGGCCACCAGGACCTCTCTCCTACCTACACCCTGCATAGACCGTGACCAGTGGCTCCTCCCAGCACTTCTGTCTCAAGAAGTCCACCAGACAGATCTATGTGCAGTGCTGGGGAGGAGCCAGTGGTCGTGGTACAGGGGGGTACCAGTGACCTAGTGAGAGGTCCTGGGGGCCACACTGAGGTTGCTAGGTCAGGTGAAAGCGCAGGACCTCCATGTGTCTCACAGGAGGAGCGGGTGTGACACGGGGCCCTTAGGCGAGGACATGGGGATGGAACCTAGTGCCCAATGACCCAGCTCTGAGATGGGGCCCCTGCCTGCCACCAGGGCACTGAGGGGATGTTGGCCGGGGGGCACGGTCACTGCAGGCCCAGCCGAGGGGCTGCGGGAGCCAGGGCAGGCAGGGGGCTGGGGCAGGGCCATGGGGCAGTACCGGGGAGAAGCCAGCGCAGCCCCCGGCCGAGGTGGGAGGAAGATGAGCCTGGGGCCGGGCTGCCCAGGTCCCGGAGCGCCCCGCAGCGCCGGGGGGCAGAGAGCCCGGCCCTGCCCCCGGCCGGGCGGGGAACTACAGCTCCCATCAGGCCCCGCCGCCAGGCCGCTGCACGGAGCTCGCCAGCCGGCGCCCGGCGGGGCTGGTCCCGGAGCGGGGCGGGGGCCATGCCGGGGCCGGGGGGCCCGCTGGGGCTCGGGGCCCTGGGGCAGCCCGCGCCGGTCCCTGCCGCCGCCGCCGCCGCCCTGCGCTCCGGGTGGGCGCTGCGCGGCGCGGCGCGGCCGGGCGCTTCCCTTTGTGTGCGCGGGCGGAGCGCGCAGCGCTGCCCGGGGCCCGGCGCTCGGCGCGGGAGCGCCCCCCTCTCGGGGAGCCCCGGAGCCGGGCCCGGCGCGCCGGAGGTCCCCTCCCAGCCACATGCCTCCGCCCCGCGCCGCCGGCAGCCCTGCGCCCAGCCCCTCGCCCCTGCGCCGCCGGAGCCGGCGTGCCGACAGCATGATCGCCGCCGCCGCCGCCGGGCCGCGGCCGGAGGGCAGGTACCCGCTGCACCGCCTGGTCTGGCACAACCGAGCCCGCGAGCTGGACCGCGAGCTCAGCACCCAGCAGGTGGGTCCGGCCGGCGGGGCGGGGGCAGCGCCGGGCTGGGGGGCACCGAGCCCCCCCCGCGGCTCAGGCCGGGACTGTGCTGGGGGGCAACGGGGCTAGTGCTGGGGCCGCGGCGGGGGGGGGGGGGGGGAACTGATGCAACAGAATCGCCGCCCCCCTTAGCAGCAGCATCTCTGGGAACGTGTCTCCATGGCAGGGCTTCCCCGGCTCCCAGGCTGCAGCCGGCAGGGCCCTTGCTGGGCGGCTGCAGGCAGCCTCCCACTGCAGTGGGTCTGGGCGAGGGGGAGCGGGGTCTTTGCCGTGGCGGGCTGGCCCGTGGCCCGCTAGGACTTGGGGTAGGTAACAGCGCAGTGGTGCCAGAAGGGAGGCGAGGAGGGGGCTGGGGATCCTGCTGTATGATTTGACCCTCCCCCAGAAGCCCTTCTCCCCAGAAACTGTCCCTGGCCCCTCACCGGGGCTGGGGGATCCAGGGACTGGCTGTCGTGCCATGGGCAGCACCAGCCTGGAAAGCAGCCGGCAGAAATCCCCAAGCAGCAGGCAAAGCACGGCAGGGTGGGTGTCCCAGAGCGCTGGCTTTTCGCACCCTGGGGTGCTGAGTATTTGTAGAGAGGTACGTCCCGGGACCAGGGTGCTCGAGGCCTAAGGAAAGGGGCGCAGAGCAGGGGGCCAGCTTGGGACCAATTGGTTCACCTTTATCGGGAGCCCAGCCGCTGAGATGGCTCAGCACCTGGCTCATGGCCTGTGGGGGATAGTGGCCACTGTCGGTGATGCTCTGCCACCTTTTTCCATCCAAACGCCCCCTGGGTTTGGGAGCTTTGTGCCAGTGCCCATCACCATGGGACCAGAGCAGTTCCCGCGTCAGTCGGCTGGCTCAGCGAGATCCCAGGGCACATACATTCCCTCTGGCCTCAGAGCATGCAATCCCTCCCAAGGATCACCTTGCACCCGAGGCTGCGATTTGCCTGGCCCTACAGGAATCCACACCCAAATCCCAGGGAATTGCAGTGGAAGCTGGTCACCTAATTTCCTTGGACTGGGTTGAAACTCCCAGAGTGGGTGTTAACGACTCATTGAGAGCTGGGGGTGCTAGGAGCAGATGAGCGCTAGGCCGCGGGCCCCTCGTCTTCCTTTCCTCTCCAACCTGGCGTGGGTGGTTTGTTATAGACACTAAATATATGTTTCACCTCACAATTAATCTGGAGTAGCTGGAGGTGCAGTTGTCTCTGCTATGGTGAAAACAACACCTGCTAAGAGCAAGGACATGGACCTTGGGAAACGGGCAGTGTGCGTGTCAGGACTGCGTTCCAGCACGGCTTGTCCTGGGCACGCTCTGGTGAACACATTTACACCAGGCAGAGAGTACGAGCTCCTGGGGCTGCTGGCCCTGGCAGATAATTAAGCTGGGTTTCCACAGTGTCAAAATATGAATTTACCAGCTTGGGGGGGCGGGGTTCTTTGTCACTGTTATTCAACTAATTAACCCCCCCCCCCAGCAGTACAAAGCTGTCTCCCTTACAACAATAGTATGGTGTTGTGGGGAAAATGGCAAACCCCAGGCAGTTCCGCATTCGGGCATCCCAACTTCCTCCTTTGCCTGTCCGCCCTGTTCCAGGGCACAACTCCCTGTGGCTGAAGTTGTGTGAAGTGTGTGACGATGCCTGAGTTTGCAGACCCTGCTGGTGCCCAGGAACCGTGAGCCAAGAGCGCTCAGCACCTTGCAGGATCAGGTCCTTCGTTGTTTTTACAATGAGACGTACAACCGCCTCTGACGCATCTTCTTCCGGCTGGGATATTTGCTATGGCTGCAAGGCTTTTCTTTACCTTGGCTGGCTGGTGCCACACCCGTCTGTATTGTAGCAGGCAGCTGTGGAGAGATCCTGGCCTAATTGTGATTTGCATGGAAATGGAGCGGCCACGTATGAGCTCCTGTTTTCTCCTCTTTCCTGATCGGAGCAGCCTGTGGGGGAATCTCCTGCGTTTTATTTCTCTTGTAATTCAGGGTCATTTTTAGCAGCAGCTCGGGGAGGCGGAGATCTCGGCTAAATTGACGAAGTGTGTGCTGGCCATTTCCCCATGCCCAGAACGGACCGGACGAGCGTAGAAATAGCAAGGGGGATTTTTATGCCCCGCTTGGTAACTTATGTCTTTGGAACATCTCGGTGGCTTTTCCTCTGAAGGAAAAATTCTCCAAGATGCACGAGGTCTCTCCCCATTGTCTGAGATGTGGCTGGAAGAGGCAGCAGTAAAACCAGGTTTGGTTGGTAGGAGCTGCCTGGGCTGGAGGTTGGCTTAAATGCCCTGCCCCTGGTGCCCACGAGAGCCCTGTGCAGTGCCTCGCTGGAGGGCTCGGGGTGCAGCTCTCAGGCCCAGGCAGCCCTCGGCTCTAAGCCAGGTAGCACCAGCGGCAGGTCCGAGCAGGGTCTCTGGTCCACGGCGGCTCTTGTGATCACCCCGTCTGACCTCCTCCACGTGCAGGGCAGAGACCCTTGCCCAGTGTTGCCTGCATCCTGCCCAGAACGTCGGGCTGTGCCTCTCCTGTCGAGACATCTGGCCTCTCCCAAAGCACAGCCCACCGTACAGCCCCCCAGCCTCACTCCAATCGCTCAAGGGCAACTGGTCCTTCCCGTACCAGCCTGCCGCAGGGCAACCTGCCTGCTCCGTATCTGGCACTTCGGCCGCAGTCCAGCGAACATCCCTGGGCTCCTCCAGGAGGCTACAGCCTGCGTGCCGGTAGCGAGCATTACCGCCAGCAGGGAGGGTGCAGGGTGGGGCCCACGGAGCAGCTGTTTGGGGCAGGGGCTGCATCAGCTGAGTCCTGGCTGCACCCCCGGCGAGCTGCATTTTGTCAGGTTAGGGCTCCCTTAAATAGGAGCAGCCCAGACCCTGCCTAGGCAAAGGTCCCTCTGGAAAGGAGCCCCAGATATTGTGGGGGGCAGGGAGGCAGCTCACACAGACCGGCCCCTGGAAAGGGGCTGCCATGGGCATTGCACTTCGCAGTCCGGCAGGAAGAGGAGAGCGTGGTGTGCTGCCCGCGGGAACTCTCTGGTTCTCAGGTTCTGCACAGGTCATTCCTGGTGTCGCAGTCAGCGGCGAGAGTTGTGGGCTGACTCCATCCCCTCCTAGCCAGGCCCCAGAGACCCCCCTCCCCCAATACAGAGGGAAGGCCAGTGCTGGCTGCTGGAGCCTAGCTTGGCTACAAAGCCAGAGCCAGACCCAGCCCAGGGCAGTAACCGAGATCTGAGCCCCAGTGTGCCGGGCAGACAGTGAGATCCGGTCCCAGCCCCAAGGAGCTTGCAATCTAATGTATCACACTAGCAATGAAAGGCCCCAGCCAGCCAGCTGGGTGAGCCCAAGGGATGATTAGCACCCACTCCTTGGGGGTGGGGGGGCTGAGGCCCAGACAGATCCTGCCCAGATTCCAAGAGCTCAAGGTCCGAGAGATGTGGCTGAGGTCACACACGTGGACCTGGCACCACGGTGGTGTCACTGGCAGCACAGACAGAGTGCTGGCATCTCACCCTCTGTGCCCTCTGCCCAGCTCTGAGTGCAGCGGTGAACACCCGGCTCGGGGCAGCCAGGGCCCTGGGATGGTGCCTGGGCATCACCGCAGCCAGGCTGAGCTGGGTCCGGGGGGCTCAGGGCAGAAGATACTCACCAGTGGGGATGAGCCACGCCAAGTCTCTGCCCCAAGCCTCCTTCCAGCTCACCCATGTTTGGGCCCTGGCCCCCCGCAAATGGGACATAGCCGTCTTGGCCCTGGCTGCCCCTCTCCGCGGTCACTGGCAGGGCTCACCTCAGAATTCGCAGCTCCCCGATTGCTCTGTGCCAAGCCCCGGGTCAGGGGGACTGTTCACACTCTCCTGCTGCCAGCATGGAGCCAGGACTGGGAGGGGTCTGGGGCAGCAGCAAGGGAATCCCCTCTCCATTGCTCCGGAGAGCCCTGCTGCCTCTTGGCTATGGCAAAGCCAAAGGATCCGGGTGGCTGCTTGCAAGACCAGCCCTGGCATTCCTGTCCCACGGATTCCCTGCCCCAAGGCAAGCCCGCCCCCTGGGAAATCCCACAAGGCGTCTGGAGCATGTTTCAGACCCCGATACGTGGCAAGGCACCAAGGGGTGGGGAAGGGAGCAGAACATGGAGCTGAGCCGAGGGCACATTCAACTCTTGCTTGGACGGGTCAGCCAGTGGGGTCGGCCCTGGAGCCTGAGTTCCCCGGGCACAAGCAGCAGCGAGCCAGGCCTGCACTGGAAGAGCCCTGCTCTGTCAGCTCCGGGGAGACGTCACGGGGCTGCACCCGCACCCTGGGCAGAGCTTCTCTTGGCCAGCTGAGGGGTGGGGACCAGGGGCGCAGCTCGACTCACCAGCGGCAGGTTCTGGCTGGCACTGAGGGGTGGGCTGGGCTGGAGCCGGCTGGCACGGCCACTCCAATTGGGTGGAGCCAGGCAGCGCCTGTGGATTGAACAGTAGGAATCACAAACAGTTCCTCTTCCCCCCTTGGCACTGCCCAGCCGGCACCAGGGCAGCTCCGAGCGCCCATCAATGGAAACTGGCATCTCAGGCTGCAGGATGAACTCTGTAGTAACCCCTCCCCATGCCCTGGTCAGCACTCTTCCTTTTTCCTGGCGGGCACCATGATTGGTGCCCTCTGAAGCCAGCTGCCCGTTGGCAAAGTCTGGCCCTTAGCAGCCCTGCAGGAAGGCAGAGTTGGTTCAGCGTGCGTATGGGGGTCAGCGGGGAACTGCATCCCAGCCCCAGGGCCCTGGGGTGGGCAGGGCAGTGGTGTCTGGGCTCATGGCCGGCTCTCAGGGTGATGGGGCTGTTATGACCATCTGGGACAAACAGCAGCCCCCCCGAGGAACCCTGGCCCGGAGGTGCAGCGAGTTGTTATGAACAGTCCCAGCTCCCCCACTCTGCTGTCTGCCCAGCTGGGCGGTTGGGCTCCTCCAGCAGCCCCTTGCCCTGCAGCCCCGCGGGCGTGTGGGGAGCCAGCAGCTAATGCCTGATGAACAAGTCACTGCCAGGCTTGGGCCAAGCCAAACGCAGCCACGGACGAAGGAGGCAGGCTGGCCGTGCAGGGCCTGTAACGCCCCCCCCCGCCCTCTCTCCGCGGCCATGGCCTGCTGAGACCAGCCTTGTGCAGCGCCTTCTCCCCTGCAGCCAAGATTGCTGACCCTATCTGGCCACGCCAACCTGCTTTGCCGAGTCCCATCCTCCTGGTGCCTGGGCGAGAGACGCTGCCACTCGCCAGCCATGAGCAGGGGCAGGAGCCATGCAGCTGCCTCAGGGCCTCATCCCCCCCCAGGCAATGGGAGCTGGGTGCTACACAGAGCCCCGGCCTGGGGACCAGGCAGCAGCACTTGGGGCTGGCCGCCCAGGTCCCGAAGGCCTAAGCGGGGTCCTCAGCAAACAGGCCGAACGCAGCAGCAGTGGGAGCAGGGTAGTCATGGGCGGCGCTGGGTGGGGGAAGTGCCGGGCCATGCATGCAGGTGGGGGCTGCTGCAGGGAAGTGGGGATGGCCTGGGAGCGGAGAGCTGGCTGGGTGGGAAGCCTGGGCATTAGCTTCTGCTTCCAGCCAGTCACATCCTGATCGGTCACCCTGGTGTAAATGGGGTGACTCTGGATTGACACCCAAGGCACCAAGAGCCAGCTTTGGTTCCTGGTCCACAGTGAGGGGCCCGTGTCCCATCCCTTCCCTGGGGCAGCACCCCACTGGACCCAGCCCCCAGGAAAGCCCGGCTCCCGCAGCCAGGGGTGGGGGGAAGCTGCATTAACCAGCTCCCAGCTGGAGGGCTGGGGTGTGTGTGTTTTCTTTAATTAGTTAGAGCCCTTTTCATCAGAGCAATTAAGAGCCAGCGAGCGATCACCTTGGAGAGCGTTTAATTAACACGCCAGCTCCTGCTACACTGGAGGTGCTGCTTCCAGAACCAGTTTTGTTTCTGGGGCACCCCCTGGCAGTGCCTGGGTCTCAGTACTGCGGGCCAGGCCAAGGGGCAGCATGTGCTGTGCCCCTCCGACGGGACAGCTACATTTGCCAGGCCTCTGCCATCCAAGACGGGCAGGGTGGAGGGGAGGCCATGGCTGGGCCAGGATTGGCTCTGGGAGCTAGGGCTCTGGCACCAGAGCTGGGCTGGGAGGGACAGTGTGGGTTTGGGGGGCTCACAGGAGCAGCACCTGGGGGTGTTAACAGCTGGATCCAGCTGGCATGTGAATGGGAAGCACCGAGGCAGGAACCAGGGCATGGGGAAGTCAGACCTGAGCGTCGGAGAGCCCGGCTGCCCAGGCGGGGCGAGGCTGAGACGCCTTGCGGGCTCCTCCCTCCCCCGTGTTGTGATTGGGGCACCCCCCGAGGTGCATGGCAGGGGATGGCCGAGCTCTGCTCCCTGGGCAGGATTGTGGGAGACGCCCCAGCGTGGCTGGCAGCGAGGCTGGGGCAGCTGCTGGGGATGGGGAGGGAGGGGTTTGTGCCAGTCCTCAGCCCCTGGCACTGAGCTGGGGGCTCCTCTCCTGACACAGCCCCCCAGAGTGCCGGGGCATGGGGGCAGGGCAGCCTGGCAGAAGTGCAGCTGCCCCCCCCCCGGGGTTACAGTTTCTCTCAGCAACAAGAATCGGCCCCTGGGAGCTAGTGTCTGGCAAAGGAGTGTGGGGCAATTAGCTCTGGTGGGGGAGGGGCTCCAGGGAGAGTCGTCTCCAAGCAACCTGGTCCCGCCCCCCAATGCTCCTAGGGAGCCTCCCTGTGGCAGAGCTGCCAGGAAAAGTGGGGCCCCACTCACCCAAGTCAGGGACTTGGCTCCCCCCCGCCAATGCTCCTCATTCCAACCCACAGCCCCCCGCTGCTCCCGGGGGCGGGGGACTCCCACACTCCAGGCCTCCTCTCAGGGCCCCTGTGCCTCTAGCCAGGGGGGCTGGAGGAGACGGTGGCCCAGAGCCGCTAACTGCCACCTCCAGACATTCACCCCCATCACATCCAGCCAAGGCCCAACCCAGCACAGAGCGGGGCCCTGGCCGGCTCCTGCTGCAGACCCAGCTGGGCCTCCCCTCCCACTCCCCACGGGCTGCAGGCACCTGGGAGCCCGGCCATCTCTAGCCAATGGGCTCCCGGCAGCTCACCTGGCCTGGCCCAGAGCCCTGCAGGCCAGAAGCCATTAACCCTTTCAGCACCGCACAACACCATTGTGCCCACGCCTTGGGGCGGGCAGCAGAGATGGCCCCGGAACCCGCAAGCTCCAGGCGGCTGGGGTTGCCGTCGGGCCCATCTCTCTGCAGCGGCTGGAGGGGTAAAGGCAGGGCTGCCCCGTGAGCAGGGCTTGCTGTGCCTGCAAGTGGGGGTGTTGCTGGGCCCCCCTCCACCCCGGGGCCAGGCTCTGCAGGGAGTGGGGCTCCCCCCCCGGCTCTCACAGGACCCCCTGCAGGGTCAGACCCCCTCTCCTGTGCCTCCTAGCCCTGTGGCCTGGCACCCCACCCCACCCCTAGCATGGCTTCTGGCATGGCACTCACAAGAGCTGCCGTCCTCTCCCCCCACCAGGGCTTGGACGCCAGCCCAGCTGCCCCTTGACCCGGCAAACCCAGCTTGTCATCTCCTCAGCTTGGCATGTGCCTTTCATGCATGGCCTCCTCGGCAGCCGGGCGGGAAGTGGATGTGACAGGCACTCCCCTGGGTTGCCGCTGGGCTTTCAGCGGGAAGGGCTGGGGGGGGCAGCGGGGGATGGGAACGGAGCTGCCCGCAGAGTGGGAGCCTTGTGCTAGCGGGCACAGCGGGCAGTGGCAGCCCTCCCGGCTGCCCCCCACAGAAGGGACACAGGGCAGAGATGGGGATGTGCGCAGGAGGAGCCCCCGGCTGTCCCCATGCTCCAGGCCTTCAGCCACAGCCTGGGGCATGCGCTGAGCTCCCAGCCAGTCCCAGCGGCAGGGCCCATGGTGCAGAGCTGGGCGGTGAGTCCAGCCAGGCGCCTCTGCCAGGAGTGGGGGCTGGGCCTCAGGGGGTAGGTCAGATCCCACTTGCCCCTGCCGCACGCCCTCAGAGCAGGAGGGGGAGCACACGTGGCCTGAGGTGCGGTGATTGGCACGTCTGGCTGGGCGTGACGTGATGCATACCACAGCTGGAAATAACACGCAAGGGGACACATGAGGGCAGGGTAGTGCATGCTGGGCACACAGGGACGTGAGCTGCCGGGCAGCAGTGCCAGGGTGACACGGGGCAGGAACGGGGGATGCGACACAGAGCCAGTGTCATTGGTCACAGATAAAGGCCGGTGGATTTAGGGAGGGAGGCCGGGGGCAGTGACAGGCTGCATTGGCTCAAGTGCGTGGCTCTGACTCACTAGCTTGTCTCTCCCCAGCAGAAGCTGGGACAATAAATGCTATTAACCCTTCCACCTCGCTCCTGTCCTGGGCCCAGCATAGCTGGACGCCCTCCCCAGCTCGCTACCTAACTGAGGGGACATCAGCTCGGTGCTTGGGCCAGGTGTGTGTGTGTGGGGGGGATGGAGCCCCTCCAGCAGGGTGCTGGCTCGAATCCTGCCCTGCAGCCCACCTCCAAGGAACTCAGGGGCTGCTAGCCCAGTGCTGTCCTTCATGCCCCGGAGCTGCCAGCATGACCGGTCCCTCCTTGGCTGACCCAGCCAGGGCCGAGGAGGCTGAGTGCCCTTCTCCGCTGGAGGCAGGGGGAGATGTGCTTTGCGGGGGCACCCCACCCCCAATATCTCTAGCTCTGCCCCACAGAGCTCAGCTTTTCCCCACCTGGCTGGGCTGCCCGGGGGTCATGGGGATAAAGGCCGGTGGCCCCCTCACTCTGAGCCCCAGAGATCACACTCCCCTGGCCTTGCTGGGCATGGGGAGAGAACATGCTCATCTGGGCAGCTGCTCCCAGGATGGCGCTGCTGGCACGGACTGGAGCATTCACTCCCTGCCCCAGCAAGGTGCCCCGTTGTCAGTCCTCCCGCCCGCTGTCGGGATTGCCCCGCCACGTCCCCCTGCAGTGCAGGAGGGAGCCCCCAGGGCCCAGGCCAGAGCCGGAGCTGGGGAAGGCCTTTGGGCCCAGGCGGGGTCACTCACCCCCAGCCCTATGGGCTGCACTTGTGGGCCTGGAGCCTCTCTCCCCTGACTTTCACCAGCACAGGCTGCAGCTGCCCGGGGGCTGGTCAGGTCCCAGCTCAAAGTCAGGCCCTGGGGGGAGGTGGGGATCGGGGGCTCAAATTTCACCCATTCCAGGGCTGCCTTTGAATGGGCTCGGGCTCAAACCGCTTGGCTCCTGGAGGCAGAACTGGGGGGATGTCCATGGGGCCTGGGTTGTAGCCCGTTTACCAGGCCCGGTGCTGTGTTGGCCAGAGAAGCAGCCAGCCCAGGGCACCGGGGTCTCACACTGGCTCATCTGCATGGGGCTCCCCCCACAAAGAACAAACGGCACCAATGGGCGGATGGCTGGCCCTGGCCAGAGGAGCCTGCGCCCCGAATTCCCAGGCCAGGGCCTCTCGCCAGCCGGTTCCTTGGACAGCTATGTGCCCTCCCCCACCAGACCCAGCAGGGCCTACACCCCTCCCCCCCGGAGCACTGAGACTCCAGGGGCCCCAGGTCCCAGCACCCCACAGAGATGATGACGGCTGGGAGCAGCCCCATCCGGAGCAGCAGCCAGGCCTGCTGGGGCTGCTCCCCCGAACCCTGTCCCAGGATCACCCCCAGCTAAGCCCCTCTCTGGGCTCTCCTGGCAGGTGGACATTGAGCAGCTGGACCCGCGGGGCCGCACGCCCTGCACCTCGCCACCACGCTGGGCCACCTGGACTGCGCCAGGGTCCTGCTCCAGCATGGAGCTGATGTGGGCAAGGAGAACCGCAGCGGCTGGACAGGTGGGCAGGCGGCTCTGGGATGCCGGGGGGAGGCTGACAGCCAGGGCCTGCAGCAGCCCCACCTCTCCTGCGCCGGGGGGCTGGCACCTGGGGACGCTGCCGTTTCTAGGCACCAGAGCCAGTTCTGCAGGGGCTGGCACTTAACAGGCAACAGATACCAGTGAGACCAGCTCCATTGCACGGGGGGGTGGGGGGGTGACAGAGCAACCAGGCGCCTGATGTGAGCTCATGGAGGTCACTGTGCAGTGCAGGTGGGGGCTGAAGAACGGGAGCACTTGGGCACCCTGCCCTTAGCCGCCTCTGCTGAGCCCCTAGCCCACCCTGGCCCCCCCCAGCTCCGCTGGTGCCCCTCACTCCTGACCTGCAACCCCCTGCTAGCCCGCCTGGCTCCCCCAGCTTCGCCGGTGCCCCTCACTCCCGACCCACAGTCCCCTGCTAGCCCGCCTGGCTCCCCCAGCTCTGCCGGTGCCCCCCATCCCAAGCTAAGTTCCCTGTAAGCTGCGCGGCTGTGCAACAGGCTATCAAGGGCTGCACATGCGGGGAGAGGCGTCCCTCCCCCAGCCCAGCCCAGCCCTCCTAGGCCTCTCTCCCCACCGCTGCCCCAGGGCAGCCTGCACCCCAATCCCCTCATCCCTGGCCCCACCCCAGAGCTCTCACCCCCTGCACACCAACCCTGTGCCCCAGCCCTAAGCCCCCTCCCACACCCCAATCCCCTCGGTCCCACCCCCGCCACACATCACCTCCATATTGGTGCACAGAACAAAATTCATTCCACACATGAATGTAAAAAATTATAGGGAACATTGATCCCAACCCCCAGCCCCTGCTAGCCCAGCCCCTTGTCCGTCCCCCCAGCTCTGCTGGTGCCCCCCAATCCCAACGCACAGCCCCTCTGCTGGAGCCCCTCAGTACCATCCCCACCCAACACAGCAGCCCCAGGGCTCCTGGCAGACATTGGGGAGGTGCTGTATAGGCCTGCAGTGTCCGTTCCCAGCACCTTCCCCCGCGCGTGCAGGTAGCCAGCCTGTGCTCCTGCAGTGGCTCAGGGCACGTGGGAGGGGGCAGCCCCAGGGGGACCCTAATGGCCGATGCTGACGCCCCCCTGGCTGAAGCAAACCCGCGGGCCTCACAGAGCTTCAGGAGTCCAGCTCTGCCCAGGGGCACTGCCAGGGGACCAGGCCAGGCGCCTCCCTGGTCTGGGACAGGGACCCTGGCCAGGTGCTGCCCTCCCCGGTGCAGGCTGGGGCAGGGCTGGCTCTCCTGGTCACGTGGGCAGAGGGGACCCTGCCCGCTGCCCCTGATACCCCCCTCTGACCCCCCAGTGCTCCAAGAGGCAGTGAGCACCCGTGACCTGGAGCTGGTGCAGCTGGTCCTGCGGTACCGTGATTATCAGCGAGCCGTCAAGCGCCTGGCCGGGATCCCCATCTTGCTGGAGAAGCTACGCAAGGTACAGCCCCCGCCTGCACCCTCTTCTTGCCCTGGGCCACCGCAAGGAGCCAGTGCTTCCCGGGCCATGGGTCCCCTGCCCGGCCCTGCCCAGCGGGCTTCATGTGCCCAGCGCCAGCCCCATGTAGGGGGAAGCTGGCAGGGTTTGCACATGGTCACACCAAGGACTCCTGGCTCCCTGTCCCTGCAGCTGCTGGGTGTGAGGGGATCCCGTGGGTGGCACTGGGTGCCCTCAACCCCGGCCTCTCTCTCCTCTCCCCAGGCCCAGGATTTCTACGTGGAGATGAAATGGGAATTCACCAGCTGGGGTAAGTTCTGGGGCCACCAGGAGGAGGCTGGGCCCAGCCCTTTCCCCCTATTGCTGCCCCCCCCACCAAGCCCATAGACATCCTTCGCATCACCCCAGGCCCCGGTGCTCACCCACACCTGTGACGGCCCCAGGCAGCCCTCGAGTCCAAGGGCCGCCTCTCCCCTCACCTGCTGGGCCCCCACCCTGTCCCCCCGAGTGGAGAGCTCTGGCCATGTGGTGGTTTGGGGAATTTTATCTCCTGTCCAAACCTGGCCCCTGGGACCCTGGAGCAATGGGTCCCAGGCCAGCGGGATGCCCCTGCTCACCGCCCCACGAGGCAGCGTGACAGGGGTTGAGGGGTGGCTTTAGCCACGGGGGACTTGCCCCTAACATTGCCCTCCCCACAGTGCCCTTGGTCTCCAAGATCTGCCCCAGCGACACCTACAAGGTGTGGAAGAGCGGCCAGAACCTGCGTGTGGACACGACGCTGCTTGGCTTCGACCACATGACCTGGCAGCGGGGAAACCGCAGCTTCGTCTTCCGGGGACAAGGTCGGCATGGCCCCCGGCACAGCGCGGTGCCGGAAGGCTCTGGGAGCAGCAGGGCCGCAGCCCCCAGCCCTGCCCGAGGCAGCCCGTGGGCACCGGCTGTTGACAATGCACACGCCCATCTCGCTGCAGCGGGGCCATGCTGGCCACTCAGTGCACTCCGCCCCCCAGCCTGCCCGCAGCTGGGTGTGCCACCTCTCCCCCTGCCCGCAGCCGGTCGCTGGGCTGAGCCCGTGCGGGAGGTGCCGGGGCGCGTGGTGGGGGAGCCCGCTGGCTGGGCAGTGCTCTGGAAAGGCCCAGCTTAGCCCTGTGGGCATGGGGCGGGTGCTCTATGCCCTGGCTGCTGCCCGCTCCCCTGGCACGAGGGTCGCAGAGGTCTCATCCTGCTGGCTGGGCGGAGGAGTGAAAAGCCCCGTCTAGACACCAGGTGGCATGAGGGAGACGCCTCCCTGCCGGCTGGCAGCCTGAAGCTGGCAAGCAGACGCAGCAGCGTGGAGGGGGAGCGTGGGGTTCGTGCAGCCAGAGGGGCAGTTATGGATGGGGGAGGTGCTGATGTCTGGGGGCGGGGCAACCCACCTGGCCCCCTGCTCGCTGCCGGGGAGGGTGGCTCTGCCACACCTGGAGATCCAGCACGGGCACACTCAGGCAGGCCCCTGGCACATGCTTGCACGGCCCTCCTGCACTCCCCCATGCCCCCAGCCCGCACCCCCCACGCCGCTCTGGAGCCCCCTGTCACGGAGTCCCTGGGCGATGCTCTGGAACTGCTCCCCATGAAGCCAGTCAGGACTCTGGGGCAGTCGCCTTTCTGTGAGCAGCCTGTCTTCAGGACACACAGCTCACACAGCTTCCACCTTCCTGGGTCTCACCTCGGAGCATTCAGCATCCTCTGCCCCTCCGTGCGCTTCCCGCAGCGAGTCCGCTCAGGCAGGGCTCCTGGGGAAGCCAGAGGGTCCTGCACCCCAACTTCGCAGTCAGACGTGACTCTCAGCCAGCCAGTAAAACAGAAGGTTTATTAGACGACAGGAACATGGTCTAAAACAGAGCTTGCAGGTGCAGAGAACGGACCCCTCAGCTGGGTCCATTTTGGGGGGCAGTGAGCCAGACAACCACGTCTGCCCTTCACTCCATGTCCCAGCCAGCCCCAAACTGAAACTCCCCCCAGCCCCTCCTCCTCTGGGCTTTGTTCCTTTCCCGGGCCAGGAGGTCACCTGATTCCTTTGTTCTCCAACCCTTCAGCTCTCACCTTGCAGGGGGGGAAGGGCCCAGGCCATCAGTTGCCAGGAAACAGGGTGTCGGCCATTCTCTGTGTCCAGACTCCTGCACACACATGCCCTCTAGGGCACTGCAATGATCATACACCCTTACTCCACCCCCTAGATACTTAAGAACTGCCTAGGGGAAACTGAGGCACCCCCACACTATTCAGAGGAAACATTAAGAACAGTCCCACTTCGTCACATCTCTCCCCCTTCGAGATCGAACTGAGCGGGGTCACTTTAGCAGGTGACCTGGGGAAGTTCGAAGCCACCAACGTTCCCATGGATGCCCCAGCATCTCTCCCATTCCTTGGTAGGAGTTACACCAGGCCCTTCCAGTTTCACGCCCTCCCTTAGGTCAGGGGTGGTCGATAGCACTCGCAGGCCGCATGTGGGAAGGTTTATGCAGCCCATGCCCTTTGGCCACCCCAAGAATGTCTCCCATTGACCATCACCTTCTGCTCCCACTGGAGGTCCGGGGGGCCTGGGCCCCAGGAAACTCCACACAGACATATAGGTTGGGGTCAGGAGTGGAGCGTGTCCACCTCCTCACTCATCTGGCTGACGGAGTCTATGGCCTTGGGACCCAGCAAGGGAGCTAGACACCGGGGCTTTTCCGCAGGGTCCCCCTGGTTCAAATCTCCAGCCTGCTCAAAGGCAGTGAGGTGGGCATCCACATCCCACCCGCCCCCTTAACTAGGGGCAGCAATTTAGTCTCGAGGGGTTCCCTGCGGAACTGGCCCCCCGGGTCTATCCCCACTCACCCTGGGGAGGTCCCCTAGGGCCTCTCCGCCCCACCACCGCCAGTTCATGCTGCTGCTGCTTCTGCAGCTCTTTCTCGGGCTCTCGCTGTCTCCCCACGGTCCTCTTGCTCTCTCAGACTCAGCTCCAGTCCCGTCCGTCTCGATCCCCCGATGGGGAACCCGATCGTGAAGACCCCCGTCTGGTCGGGGACAGGAGTCTTGGCGATGCCTGGCTCCCACTCCAGCTGCTCCCAGATCCTGCTATAGCCCCAGTTGGGGTCAGGAATCTGTTCCTTAGAGCGGTCATCCTCCTCCAGCTGCACGATTAACTCTGCTTTGGTGAACTTTCCAATGCTCAACCCTCTCTTTTTGCACAGGGTGACAATGTCCTTCTTAAGGAGACGGTGACAGGCCGTCACTCCGCTCCTCCCAAGTTGTTGTGGACTCACAGGCCCATGTGTTCTCAGCTCCCCACGGTTTCTAGGGAGAACCCCCTAGTGTGCCAGCCCTTCTCGAGGTCACCACCTCTTTGCCAGGGTCGAGCTGCAGACTCCTCCGCCCCTGAGACTGCTCACTGCAGTCCCCCAGGGGGACCCCATTACTGCACAGTACTTCTCGCTGGTCACACACTCCCAGGGGTTAACCGCCCCCCGAAACCACTCCTTTCTGAGCCTTCAGCAGGCCTGGTCCTCGGCAATCCCCCTTCGTGTTACTGCTCCCCAGTCACTTACTGCAGGAAGCGCCATCCACGGGGTGCAGTACATCCCACCGCTGCCACCAGTTGTCACGGAGTCCCTGGGCGATGCTCTGGAACTGCTCCCCATGAAGCCAGTCAGGACTCTGGGGCAGTCGCCTTTCTGTGAGCAGCCTGTCTTCAGGACACACAGCTCACACAGCTTCCACCTTCCTGGGTCTGACCTCGGAGCATTCAGCATCCTCTGCCCCTCCGTGCGCTCCCGCAACGAGTCCGCTCAGGCAGGGCTCCTGGGGAAGCCAGAGGGTCCTGCACCCCAACTTCGCAGTCAGACGTGACTCTCAGCCAGCCAGTAAAACAGAAGGTTTATTAGACGACAGGAACATGGTCTAAAACAGAGCTTGCAGGTGCAGAGAACGGGACCCCTCAGCTGGGTCCATTTTGGGGGGCAGTGAGCCAGACAACCACGTCTGCCCTTCACTCCATGTCCCAGCCAGTCCCAAACTGAAACTCCCCCCAGCCCCCTCCTCCTCTGGGCTTTGTTCCTTTCCCGGGCCAGGAGGTCACCTGATTCCTTTGTTCTCCAACCCTTCAGCTCTCACCTTGCAGGGGGGGAAGGGCCCAGGCCATCAGTTGCCAGGAAACAGGGTGTCGGCCATTCTCTGTGTCCAGACTCCTGCACACACATGCCCTCTAGGGCACTGCAATGATCATACACCCTTACTCCACCCCCTAGATACTTAAGAACTGCCTAGGGGAAACTGAGGCACCCCCCACAGAACAGGCCCACTTCGTCACACCCCCAGAGCTGCAGCCCCTGGGGGCAGGTGCTGACGTGGCCTCCTCCCGGCAGACACCAGCGCGGTGGTGCTGGAGATCGACCACGACCGGCAGGTGGTGTACTCCGAGACGCTGGCCCTGGCCAGCCACGACCGCGGGGCCTGCTGGCTGCCGTGCAGCCCACTGAGGAGCAGGTGATGGGCCGGCTCACCGCGCCCCGTCGTCACCACACAGCTCGACACCAAGAACATCGCCCGAGGAGGTGGGCACGCGCCGGGCAGGGGAAGGCTCCGGGAGGGGGCTGGGAGGCAGGCGACTTCTGCTGCAGCCCAGGGGTGCCCCGGGTCCCTAGTTCTGGGCAGGGCCTGGCAGATGGGGGGGGCTGAGTGTGAATCCCCCGTGGGTCTGTCACTCACGGCTGCCTTGTCGCCGTCAGGAACAAGACGGGGCTTCTGGGCTGGCGGAGCGAGAAGACAGAGGTGGTGAACGGGTACGAGGCCAAGGTGAGGGGCAGGGCGGCCTTGCCACTGGCCATGGGCAGGGGGGCAGCAGGCAGGGGAAGGCAAGTGCTCCCTCCCCAGCTCTGGGAGGGGCAGGGGAAGCCATGTCGGGACCCGACTCAGCACAAAGGCAGGGTCACACCTTGGCCTCCTCGCCAGCAGGGCTCACCTGGCCCCAGCCAAGGCTCCTTGGTGGGCGCAGAGCCACAATGCCCCACGTTTGGCTGCCCACGTTTGGCTGCAGTGGGGCCTGAGCTCCCAACCAGGGCCCCAGTGGCAGGGAGAGCAGCCTGAGGAGCCCTGGTCACAGCGCCCACGTGGGGGGCTGGAGCCACTGCCCCCTCCTGCCAGCCCAGCCCCTGGCGGGGGCACATCTCTGGGGGGCTGTCAGGCAGAGAGAGCTGCAGCCTCTGGCATTCGGGCTCCTCCCTGCAGGTTTACGGTGCGTCCAATGTGGAGCTGATCACACGGACGCGGACGGAGCACCTCTCCGACCAGCACAAGGGCAAGAGCAAAGGTAAGGGCCGGCTCCAGGGGATGGGCCCTGTTTCTTCCCTAGCAGCCCCATAACGTTCCCATCCGCCTTTGGCTGGGAGCAGCCTGTCTTCAGGACACACAGCTCACACAGCTTCCACCTTCCTGGGTCTGACCTCGGAGCATTCAGCATCCTCTGCCCCTCCGTGCGCTTCCCGCAACGAGTCCGCTCAGGCAGGGCTCCTGGGGGAAGCCAGAGGGTCCTGCACCCCAACTTCGCAGTCAGACGTGACTCTCAGCCAGCCAGTAAAACAGAAGGTTTATTAGACGACAGGAACATGGTCTAAAACAGAGCTTGCAGGTGCAGAGAACGGGACCCCTCAGCTGGGTCCATTTTGGGGGCAGTGAGCCAGACAACCACGTCTGCCCTTCACTCCATGTCCCAGCCAGTCCCAAACTGAAACTCCCCCCAGCCCCTCCTCCTCTGGGCTTTGTTCCTTTCCCGGCCAGGAGGTCACCTGATTCCTTTGTTCTCCAACCCTTCAGCTCTCACCTTGCAGGGGGGAAGGGCCCAGGCCATCAGTTGCCAGGAAACAGGGTGTCGGCCATTCTCTGTGTCCAGACTCCTGCACACACATGCCCTCTAGGGCACTGCAATGATCATACACCCTTACTCCACCCCCTAGATACTTAAGAACTGCCTAGGGGAAACTGAGGCACCCCCACAGAACAGGCCCACTTCGTCACACCCCCCCAGAGCTGCAGCCCCTGGGGGCAGGTGCTGACGTGGCCTCCTCCCGGCAGACACCAGCGCGGTGGTGCTGGAGATCGACCACGACCGGCAGGTGGTGTACTCCGAGACGCTGGCCCTGGCCAGCCACGACCGCGAGGGCCTGCTGGCTGCCGTGCAGCCCACTGAGGAGCAGGTGATGGGCCGGCTCACCGCGCCCGTCGTCACCACACAGCTCGACACCAAGAACATCGCCTTCGAGAGGTGGGCACGCGCCGGGCAGGGGAAGGCTCCGGGAGGGGGCTGGGAGGCAGGCGACTTCTGCTGCAGCCCAGGGGTGCCCCGGGTCCCTAGTTCTGGGCAGGGCCTGGCAGATGGGGGGGGCTGAGTGTGAATCCCCCGTGGGTCTGTCACTCACGGCTGCCTTGTCGCCGTCAGGAACAAGACGGGGCTTCTGGGCTGGCGGAGCGAGAAGACAGAGGTGGTGAACGGGTACGAGGCCAAGGTGAGGGGCAGGGCGGCCTTGCCACTGGCCATGGGCAGGGGGGCAGCAGGCAGGGGAAGGCAAGTGCTCCCTCCCCAGCTCTGGGAGGGGCAGGGGAAGCCATGTCGGGACCCGACTCAGCACAAAGGCAGGGTCACACCTTGGCCTCCTCGCCAGCAGGGCTCACCTGGCCCCAGCCAAGGCTCCTTGGTGGGCGCAGAGCCACAATGCCCCACGTTTGGCTGCCCACGTTTGGCTGCAGTGGGGCCTGAGCTCCCAACCAGGGCCCCAGTGGCAGGGAGAGCAGCCTGAGGAGCCCTGGTCACAGCGCCCACGTGGGGGGCTGGAGCCACTGCCCCCTCCTGCCAGCCCAGCCCCTGGCGGGGGCACATCTCTGGGGGGCTGTCAGGCAGAGAGAGCTGCAGCCTCTGGCATTCGGGCTCCTCCCTGCAGGTTTACGGTGCGTCCAATGTGGAGCTGATCACACGGACGCGGACGGAGCACCTCTCCGACCAGCACAAGGGCAAGAGCAAAGGTAAGGGCCGGCTCCAGGGGATGGGCCCTGTTTCTTCCCTAGCAGCCCCATAACGTTCCCATCCGCCTTTGGCTGGGGGAGGCAGGCAGGCCCCGGCGCTGCCCCAGCTGGGGAGCCACTGGTGTCACAGCCCCATGCTTTGTCCCCGTCTCTCTGCAGGCAGCAAGACCCCGCTGCAGTCCTTCCTGGGGATCGCCGAGCAGCATGTGGGGCCCAGCAATGGGGTGAGTAGCGGGCTGAGCTGGGAGCGGCTCTGGGACCAGCACAGCCCCAGTAGCTGGGGGGAGGCGAGGGGACCGTGTTTGAGCAGAGCAGCCCCAGCCTGGCTGTGCTAATGAGGCCTCTGCTCGTCCCGGCGCAGACGCTGATCACGCAGACCCGGAGCCCCACCAACCCCACGGCCATCACCCCCGAGGAGTACTTCGACCCCAGCTTCGAGCTAGGCAGCAGAGACATGGGGCGCCCCATGGAGCTCACCACCAAGACGCAGAAGTAAGGAGGGGCCCGCCAGGAAACCTGGGGCAAAGGGGGACCCCCGTCAAGAGAGGGAAGGCTGGGGATAGGTGGAACTCACTGCTGCAGGAGATTGGGGCAGAGAAAGCAGGAGCGGGCCGGAGGCTGATCTGGGAGAGAATAGCTGGGCAGGGGCATGGCCAGGGCCCCCCCGAATCTGCCCGGGGTCTGCCTGGGGCTCCCCACATGAGACTGCGGTGCAGGCTTCCCAGACTGTGAGGAGTATGGGCTGTCCCATGGGGCAGAGGGCAGCACCTGCCCAGTGAGCTCTCGTGGGCAGCCCATGCTCCGCCAGGTAGGGGCCCGTGCTCTTGTGGGCATCTCTTCCCGCTGCAGGTTCAAGGCCAAGCTGTGGCTGTGTGAGGATCACCCGCTGTCCCTGTGCGAGCAGGTGGGGCCGATCATCGACCTCATGGCCATAAGCAACGCGCTGTTCGCCAAGCTCCGGGATTTCATCACGCTCCGCCTCCCGCCTGGCTTCCCCGTCAAGATAGGTGAGGCCGCGCTGCCCCTGCCCTGCCCCGATCCGGCCGGCTGCCCTGGGGGCTCCCTGGGGCCTGAGCCTGTAGTGCCCAAGTATGACTCTGGCTGCTCTCCTGGCCCTGGAGCTGCCAGCCCCGGATCCCCATGGGGCAGAGGGGTGTGGGGCAGGTAGGCATGTGCTGGTCTCCTGGCCCTGGAGCTGCCAGCCCCAGGCCCGGCAGGTGGCACCTCCCTCACTGCGCCCGCTCTCTCCCCCTCCCAGAAATCCCCATTTTCCACATCCTCAACGCCCGCATCACCTTCGGGAACCTCAACGGCTGCGACGAGCCCGTCAGCTCTGTGCGCCGCAGCTCCGGCAGCGAGGCGCCCTCGCCTAGCAGCGACTCCTCCAGCGTCAGCAGCTCCAGCTCCCTGGGTACGCGGCACCTGCCCCGGGGAGGGACCCTGAGGGGACGGGCAAGGCGCCGGGGTCTGCAGTCGGCCCTTAGCACCCCCACATCCAGAGCTATCTGCGCACCAGCCCCCGGGTCCCCCTCTCCGGCTTTATAAGGGAGGGGGAGTTGGGCTTGTGCACATTAGCAGCCCCCCCTTTGACCTGGCTTGGCCCCCCTGTTGGCGACCAGCCAGGAGGCCAGTAGCCGCAGCGCCCCGTCCTGCTGGCACCTGCCCTCCCCTTCCCTAGGGAGGCCGGGCTGTGGGGCCTGCAGCTCCCAGCATGCATTGTGGCGCGAGCGGTGTAGATGCAGGTGTAGTCTGCAGGGGATGCATGCTGCGCCATGTCCCCCCCCCGCAGTGACAGGGACATCTGGTCCCCGCAGCCTCCTGCCGGGCCTGTGAGATGGACCTGTCCCTGTTCGAGGCCCCGCCCGGGTACAGCGTGCTGGGCAGCCAGCGGGACGCCATGCGCGAGGAGGACGACGACCTGCTGCAGTTCGCCATCCAACAGAGCCTGCTGGAGGCGGGCACTGAGTACGACCAGGTGGGCTCTGCGCCCCCCCTGCTGGGTGCCGCCGAGAACTGCCCCGGGGCCCGCCAGGTGTCACGGGATGGGAACAGCCTCATCCCAGCGCATGGCTCCTGGGGCTGCCCCTCCTGCCGGGCAGGGCGCGGTGAGCACCCAGCCTCGGGCGCTGCAGGGGACCAGCTCTCACCTTAGTTCTGTCCCAGCCCCACAGCACTAGAAGAGCAGCACAGCCCCCCTGAGCCCCACTCTGCCTGCCAGCGTGGCCCGGGGCAGCCCCACGCTGCCACCCGCAGCTCATGGCGGATCCTCCCCTGCCCCTCCTTGCCGCTGGCGCACACATAGGGCAGCAGCGCCAGCAAGGGGAACAGAGGCCCAGGGGTGCTGCAGCTGGGCTGGTGTTGGGGGCCCTGTGCCCACTGGGATAAATGTTTCCTCTGCTCTCTCTGGCCACGCCCTGGGCTTGGCCTAACCCTCAGCCAGGCCCCAGGAAGCCCCAGCCAGGCTGGGGAGTGGGAGGGGAGGTGGCAGGCGAAGGGTTAATGCACTGCGGCTTCCCCTGCAGGTGACCATCTGGGAAGCTTTGACCAACAGCAAGCCGGGCACACACCCCATGTCCCAGGAGGGCCGGCGAGGAGACAGGTTGGTAAGGTCTGGCTAGTCCTATCCAGGGTCAGGGCTCACAGGGCCTGGCGTTGGAGCCGGGAGGGGGTCGGTCTGTCCTGCACGGCCCATTGGCCCCACGCAGCCTAGCCCCGTGGCTCTGTTCCACAGCTATATTCAGCCCAGCCTGGCAAGGGGACCCTAGCTCTCTCCCAGCGACCTGCCCGGGCCGTGCCTCAGTTTCCCCAGCTGTAGCGAAGCTGGCCACACTCCAGCTCCCTGGGGACGCCACCAGGGTCATCACACTGGGGCCTTCTGCTGGCCGGAGTCAGGCGCGACCGACAGGGCTCTAGCGTCCCAGCTGGGGGCGGGAAGCTGATGGGGGCACTTAGCGCGCGGTGTCCAGGCGCTGGGCCCCGCAGCAGCCTCGGCTCAGCCTGGGCACCCGCATTCCCGGGACCCCCACTCATCTTTGCTCCGTTCCCTGCCCCCCTAGGTCACCCCAGCACACACCTCCGCCGCGGCAGGCCGGCCCCCAGCAGCAAGGCCGGGGCAGCGGTGGGCCCAGCCCCCTGTTCCGCAGCTACGGCGAGCAGCTGCGCCTGGCCATGGAGCTGTCGGCGCGGGAGCAGGCAGAGGCGGAGCAGCGCACGCGGCAGGAGGAGGAGGAGCTGCGGCGAATCCTGCAGCTCTCGCTGACCGAGCAGTAGCCCAGCGCCTGCGACGGGCCCTGCAGCTCTTGCCCAGCTCGCGCTGAGCCGGGCCCGGCCTGTGGCCCGGGGTGGGCCTTCCCTGGGCCGCGGCGGGGTGGCAGCGGTGCCCACGTGAGCAGAGAGGTGCTGGCCCGCCGCAGATGCCATCGAACGGAGCCATTCAGAGACCATGCCAAGAACACTGCCAGGGGCACAGGGCTGCCCCGCCAGGAGGAGACTCGGCTGCGTCAGAGGGAGGTGGGAGCCCCGGTGGTGCCGCTTACGGTGCCCTGCGCCCCAGAGGGAGTGGGCTGGCTCCCCATGCCCCCCGGACTCCTCATTAACCCTCGCCTGCCCTGGGCAGCCCCAATGACCCAGGCCCGGCCAGTGAGGGGCAGAGATTGCGGGCCTGGGGTGGAGTTTACAGAATGGGGAGAGGGCACCGTGCCTGTGGGGGAGGAGAGGACGGGGCTGCGGCGGCAGGAGGTGACCTGCTGCGAGGCAGGGGGCACGCCGAGGCCCCTTACTCACGCCCCAGTCCCAGTGGGTGGGTACTCACCAGCTACAGCCAGCTGTAGGGGCTGGCAGAGCAGGGGGTGGAGAGCCCAGGGCTGGGCTAGCAAGAGGCTGTGGGTCAGGAGTGAGGGGCACCAGCAGAGCTGTGGGTCAGGAAGGGAGGGTGCTAGCTAAGCAGTGTGGGGCCCAGAGGCAGGGCCGGATGGGGTGAGCTGCGCAGGGAAGCAGGAACGCTGCTGCATGGTGATACCAGGAGCTGCTCCCCCCCCCCCACCCCGTGCTGCCTGGACTAGGCCCCTTACCCTGCCCCTCCCCTCCCCTGGCAGCTGAGCCTGTCTGAGCCTCCCGCCCCCTGTGACCCACAGCAAGGGCAGGGCCCTGCTGCACACACTCTCCCCCCCACTGTGGGCTCACAGAGGCCCCCAAGTCTTCTGTGACCCAGGGACACTGCCCAACTCCCCCAGGCCTGGTGCCCAGAGCCCCTCCCCTACTGCCTGGCTGCATGGGGCTTTGGCACTGCCAGCGGCCGGCCCTGACACATTCACGCCTATGCCATGTGTGAGGCTGCTGGTGCCAGGCCCTGCCTTCCTGCCTCACCCCAGGGCTGCCCCCAGGAGCTGGGCCGGGGAACGAGCAGGGCCAGAGATGGGGGAGGCTAGCACCCAGGGAGCCCCTAGGGAGGTGGGCACAGGGCAGGTAACCTCTGCCCTCCATGCTGAACCCACGCCGGCTGTAGGCACCAGCTCCGTCTGCTGCCCTCGCAGCACGCGCCAGTCCCAGGGCTCCGTGGCACCGATACAGCATCAAGTGCACTTAGCCAGGAGCCAGGCCAGGCCTGTGGGCTGCCAGCCGCTTTGCCACTAACCACGGAGCCCCACCGGCCCAGCCCTGCCAGAGGCCACCCACCCCGCCAGGGCCGTGCCCAGAGCCTGCACCCTCCCCAGCCCCGTGGGGGTGCTGCCCAGGCAGGCCCTTGCCAGCACACTTAGGGTGGGCATTTACCAAAGCCTGCTAGTGGGGGGAGGGGGCAGGGCAGGTGCTGCAGCCCCCACCCCATGCCCAGGAGCCATTCCCCAGAGGAAGCACTGCCCACCCGCTGACAGCCCAGCCCTGGGGCAGCCCACACACCTCCTTTGAGGTGCCCGGCTGGAGCTGACTCCTGAACTATGGGGAGTGGGGGCAGGTTTCTCTGCCTGGACAGCACCTGCACCCCAGGCCGGGGGGTGTCTGCCAACACCATCATTAGGATGGGGAGCCCCCTCCCCACTTTCCCTGGGACAGCCCAGCATGGCGTGACTGCCCCCTGCTGGCCCTCCAGCTCTCAAGTGAGCCCACTGAGGGGGGTTGGGGGGGGAGTCAGGAGCACCCCCTGAGCCAGCCATAGGTTCCTGCTGCCAGGCCCTCCCAGCCCACACGCTGCAGCCCCATGGCCTGGGCGGAGGGGTTCCCTAGCACCCCCCGCAGCCCACACTCCTCACACAGGGTCCAAAACCCCAGAGAAACCTTACGTCAAATGGTGCTAAGTCCCCGTGTCCCCCTGCCCCCGAGAACACAGCAGCCCTGTGCTGAGATGGGGCCCAGGCCCACCCTGTGCCAGGCTGGGGGCACAGGCCTTTGCTCGGTTTGCACAGAGGACAGACCTTCTGGCATGCCAGCGCAGGGGCGTGGCCCCGTGTACCCGGCTGGCAGGTCAACCCCCGCCTGAGGGGACCCACCGCCCGGCGAGGAGCCATCTCACTGAAACCGGGGCAGCAGCGGGCGCTTGGCTCCCTCCCGAAGCTGTGACAGGGCAGGGACCTTTTCTTAGTCGCCCACGGCACCTCCCCACACCAACTGTACAGCAGGGGCTGGGGCACGTGGCCGGGGCACGTGGCCACGGCCTGGCGGGTGGGCCCGGCCCACAGGCTGCGATCACGGTGGACGCCAATAAAAGTCTTTAACATTTGTCTCTTAGCAGATGCGGGCTCCATGGGGAGGGGGGCCCCAAGCCAGGGTCCAGCTCCAGCCTGGCTCAGTCCCTGGGGGTGGGACACAGCTGGGCACACGGGTTTGACTTGATTGAAGGCAACCCAGCAGCCACCAGAGCCTTGGCTAACCCCCCCCCCCCATCCCCAGAGACATCTGGTGCAGTTACTGCAGTGCCAGCCCCACTGGGGGTGCACTGCCCACGCAGTGTGCCAGCCACTCAGGAGGAAGGGGACACTGACCGCTGGGCTTACCCCAGATCCCCCTGCTAAATCCCATTTCCCCTGCACACCAAGGTGCCCTCCAGCCCCACAGGCAGATTGGCACAACCCCAGCCCCCTTTGTGCCATGGCAAAGTGCCCTCCTTGGGGTGGGCATTGCTGGGGCCCGTCCCAGCTCTCCCAGAACAGGCCCTGGGAAAGCTGCAGCCCAGGGAGTGACATGCCCCCTCTGGCTGGTGCACAGCCCCCGAAGAGCATCGTCTGTGCCTCCCGCTCACTAGCCGAGAGGTCATGTGGGTTAGTGGCTAGAGCACGACACTGCTGGGTTCCAGGGGCCTTGCACAACCCCTGTCCCTGGGCCTCAGCTGCTGCCTAGGGGGTGGTGGTGGTGGGGACATCCAGGGGGGCTGGCTGCATGCACATCCCCATCTGGCCAGCCATCTCCCCACTGCAGGCAGCTCGGGGGGGTGCTGGGCTAGACCCCGCCCCGAGAGTCACCCACTAGCAAGCTGGCACACAGCCTGGCATGTAGAGCAGGGCTCAGTGCTGGTGGGGTGGCTGGTGCTGTGCTGGGATCCCTGGGGTCACCCGGCTCCCCAATGCTCACACTCCCCACACCAGGGTAGGAGAATGCAGCCATTTATTGCTGAGGGACAGGTACAATACCAGGGGGCCAGGAACCTGCAGGCAACACCCAGCCCCCAGGGCCAAGAAAATCCTGGTTCATTAGCTGGCCTGCCCCATCAGCGGGGAGAGCGGAGTCAGGGCCAGGCTGCTGCTTATGGGCACCTCACCAATGGGGACCCAGGCTGACCCACACGTGTAACCCTGGCGGGGCTGGGCAGGGTGCAGCTCCCCAGGTGCCCTGCATGGATGGGGCAGGCTGGGCTGGGTGGGCCTTCTGCAGCCCTCCTGTCCCCTCTGCTTTGAGGCCTCCCAGTTCAGTACCCGCCGGTCCAGGGCTGGGGGGGATTCCCTGAACCCATTGTGTGCTGCACGCCATGGCAGCAGGCCTGAGCGATGCCCTCCCAAGAGCCCAGCCTTGCCCTGGCACCCCGACCATTCAGTGTGCACTGGGAGCGGCCGGCTGCCAGGGCTCAGGGAAAGGGTGGACCAAGGAAAGGGGCCCTCATGCCAACTGCCTGGGCTCCTGTCCCATGCGGTGCCCATTGCCTGGCGTGATTCCCCACTGCACACGCGCCAGGGCCGTGTGCTGAGGCTGTTGGCTGGAAAGGTGCCCACAACTTTCCCACTAACGCGGCTGAGTGGGAAGATGGGGGCTCGCCGCAAACAGCCCTCTAGGCTACAGACCAGCTCCCCAGGCCAGTCGATGTCAGGGGGCCCAGGGCCTGGGGGAGGAGGACCAGGCAAAAGAGGGCAGGGCAGGGGGCCTAGGGGATGGGGGCCCGGCCAGGGAGGGCCAGGCAGCAGGCCTGGGGGAGGACATCCAGGCAGGGGGCCTGGCAGAGGAGGGGCAGGCAGGGCCCACCTGCAGGCCCCATGCCCAGCAAGCCCCCACAGTGCAAGTGATGAGGGTTTGCCCATAAGGCTGGGCTCTGCTGAGCTAGCCACAGAACCCCCTCTCTAACCCACGTAACCACCTGCTGCCACCCCCTTGACCTGGCTGGGGAAGGGGCAGAGATAGCTCATTCCAAACACATACCTCCCCCTCCCCTGGAGCATGGGGTCCGTCCCCTCTGCCCCCAGCCCGGCAGGAGGCTTCCCCACACAAGGAATCAGTGACAGCCAGGGAGGGAGAGGGGGGTCAGTGTCTCTTGCCAGCAGAGGCCCCAGGGAGCAGCCCCTAGAGCCGTGCAATCCACCGCCACCACCAGCTGGGTTCCTCTGCAGACTGCCCCTGGGGCCGGGGGCTGAGGCCTGCTGCGGGGGAGCCTGCCCGCAGCTCCGGGGCCAGGGTAAAAAACACGTCTCCCAGCTCCTCCTCTGGGGGGTTGGTTTTAATCCTTTAAGTAAGGCTGGGCCCGCTGGGGGCTGGCGCCCTGCCCGCCCAGCCCGGCGTGACGGCCATGGCACAGGGGCCGCTAGGCCGTGCCGTTGGTGAATTTGCAGAGTTTGTTCTCCAGGTCAGAGATGCGCTTCTCCTGCGCTTGTACGGCGTGTCGCAGGGATCGGATCTCCTCCAGCAGATCCTCCAGACTGGGCCGCTGCAAGGGGACGAGCAGGGGCAAGGGTCAGAGGTGGGGCCGCTGGGGGGACCCCGGTCCTTCTCTCCCACCCCCAGCCAGTTACCACAATCTCATCCTAATCTGAGCTGCGCAGATGGGCATCGCGGCCCCTTCCCCAGGGCTCCAGAGCCGCCCGAGCCCCAAGCCAAGCTGCCAGGCCCATGGCGGTGCCCCCACGGCTCCCCACTCCGGCAAGGAGGGTCCCAGAGAGGGGCCGTCACCAGGCGAAAGAAAAATTCCATGGCAAACCCCTGCCCATCCAGCTAAACGAGGCAAGAATCAGCGGCTGTGTCACATCCCACGCAGCGCAGAAGAGACGCTCCTGGCCCTGCACCAACCAGGGTGCAACTGCCTTGCTCGGTCCCTGGCAGGGCAGGAACCTGAGCCCCAGCCTTAAGCAGTGACTGCAGCAGCCAGCAGCTATAGTAGACTCTTATCCCCCTGTGCGGTTCAGATGCTAGAGGGAAGCCAAGACCCCCCGCTGCCCTAGTGTGTGCCTGGCTCTGCAGCAGCAGAGTGCAAGGGACCCGGGCCAGGCCTGCCTTGCCCCCTCCCGCCCGAGCCAGGAGGGGGCAGAAGGAGCGTCCCTGGGGGAGGCTGGCAGCTGGGCACCTGCCTGCAGTCCCGGGTGAGCCTGGCGGGGGGTTGGCAGGCCCTAGGGCAGGGGCGCTCGGGCACTCACTGAGAAATTGGCGTCGCAGGTGGAGTGGCTGCGGCACGGCCCCACGGGAGGTTTGTTGTCCAGGATGTTCTTCCTGGTGACCTTGAGCTCGCGGTTTTTGACAGGCGTGTAGCCATCCCGCAGCGAGACGAGGATGGGCGCCGCGTCCTTCCCCGCCAGCCACTCGGCCGCCTCCAGAGCCGGCTCGGGGCCGGGCGTGTCGGGGTACAGGTCGTCCTGGAACAGGTCTGACTGTGGGGAGCAGAGGGGCCCGGTGAGGGGCCGTGGCACGGAGCGCCCAGGTCTTGGGCTGCCTCCCCTCGACCCCGCACCACAGCCTAGCGCCAGAGCTACCCTGCCCTCCCTGCGCCCCATCTACCCTGCCCCACAGCTACCCTGCCCTCCCTGTGCCCCACCTATCCTGCCCCACAGATACCCTGCCCTCCCTGCGCCCCATCTACCCTGCCCCATGGCCTAATGCCACAGCTACCCTGCCCTGCCTGCGCCCCATCTACCCTGCCCCACAGCTACCCTGCCCTCCCTGCGCCCCATCTACCCTGCCCCACAGCTACCCTGCCCTCCCTGTGCCCCGTCTACCCTGCCCCATGGCCTAACACCACAGCTACCCTGCCCTCCCTGTGCCCCATCTACCCTGCCCCACAGCTACTCTGCCCTCCCTGCGCCCCATCTACCCTGCCCCACGGCCTAGTGCCACAGCTACCCTGCCCCCCATCTACCCTGCCCCACGGCCTAGCGCCACAGCTACCCTGCCCTCCCGCGCCCCATCTACCCTGCCCCACAGCTACCCTGCCCTCCCTGTGCCCCACCTAGCCTGCCCCATGGCCTAACGCCACAGCTACCCTGCCCTGCCTGCGCCCCCTTGACCCGCCCCATAGCCTAGCGCCACAGCTATCCCACTCTTCCCTGCGCCCCATCTACCTGCCCTGCCCCATAGCCTAGCGCCACATTTTCCCTGCCCCTCCCTGCGCCCCATCTACCCCGCCCCATAGCCTAGCTCCCCTCTACCCTGCCCCTTCCCCAGTCCAGGGCTCCAGGAGCCCCATGTCCCAGGAGTCCCGGCCACTAGGGCGCAGCCCCCAGGGAAACAGGGGCTGGGGCCAGGGGTTCCCCCAGGACTCACCTTCCGCGGCACTGTCATGACGATGGGCTCGCACTTCCGCTCGTGCAGCTTGAAGAACCTGGATAAATGGGGCATGTGGTTACAGGCCTGGCCTGGACCCCCTCACCTTCCCATGGCCCAGCCCCCACTCCCTTGCAATGGCCCGGCCTCCCCTCCAGAGCCCCCCAAGGCCCAGCCCCCTCCCCCATGGCAGGGAGCAGTGACTGGCCCTCCCACAGCGAGGCCCACCACCCACTCCCTCAAGTCTGTGCCATGGTCCAGCCCCCACCCCCGCCAGCAGGGCCCCTCGGGGTTATGGGCAGGGCATGGAGGCACCCCCAGGAGCTGAGGGCCCCCACGAGCTGCCCTGGGCCTGTGGGAGGGATCCAAGGACTTGTGGGCAGTAGCTACAGGGGTGTCTGGGCCCCGGCAGCCCCACATGCCATGGGGGCTAGGGCAAGCCGTGCCCGGCACCCCCTCACCTGGCAATCTCGCACTTGCTGACGTCCAGGCCCCGCTTGGGCATGAAGCCCATGCCGCGCTGCGGCTCCTTGCTGCTGTAGGTACTCAGATAGTGCACGTAGGGCGCCTCGGCCGTGATCTCGAAGTAGCGGATGCTACTGTCGCCCTGTGAGCGGGCACAGGCAGGGGCATCAGCACTCGGAGAGGGGGCTCAGCCGCAGGGGAGGAAAAGGGACCCGATGGCGCCGGGGAGGGGTAATGCCCTGCGTGCTGGCAGCGCACTGGGTGCGGGATCTGCCCAGGGTACCCGCCCCGATCCCGCCCCCAACCCCCCCGGCCACTCGGGGCACCGGGATCCCGCCCCCAACCCCTCCCGGCTATCGGGATCCCGTCCCCGGCCACTCAGGGCACCGGGATCCCGCCCCCAACCCCCCCCCCCCCGGGATCCCGCCCCAACCCCCGGCCACTCAGGGCACCGGGCTGTGTCAGGGCCCAGCCTGGTGCAGTATTACCTTGCCGCACAGGTAGACGATGCTGGAGTCGGGGTCATAGAAGGGGAGCAGCACCCCATTGCTGGTGTCCATCTCCTGCAGCGCAATCGGCTCCTCGAAGTTCTTCTGCAGGGGCGGAGGGAGCGCGGGTGAGGGGGGGACAGGGCGGCCCGAGCTGGTTAGCCACGCACACACACACACGTTAGTGACCCAGGCCCAGGACAGGCCCACCCCCTTCAGCCCTGGCACCAAGCAGGGGACAGCTCTGACTCTTGGGTGCTGGCCCGGTTCTCCCTTCATCTCTCCCCAGCCATGAAAGAGGGCAGCCAGTGGGGCCAGCCAGCATTGGGGCCAGCCCGCTCTGCCCTCCCTGGCCTGCCTCTGCTATTCACCCTCCTGCCCCTCGGCCCTGCCCCACAGAGCTGTGTCCCAGTGCCCCCCTCCAGAGCAGCAGGGCAGCCCAGTGCCCCACAGGACAGGCCCTGCCCTCCCTCTCCTGCCCCAGAGCATCTGTGCCCCGACCCCTGGCCTGACCAAGCCGTCTCTGCTCACCCGCCTCCCAGGAGCATCTGCCCCCCAGCCCACGCCTGGACAGTCGTGCCCCCACACTCCCAGCATGCACTGCAGTTCTAGCCCCCTCCACTCTCCCCCCATCCCATGCAAATTCACATCACTCCAAGCCCTGGGAAGTTGGCATCATCCTGATGGGACAGCTGCGCCCCCGCCACGCCCATGACTTGGGGGCATGGTGCCCTGCTCCAAACGGATGCCGCCCGATGAGCATCCTCCCCCGCCGCCACGGGCCCCCTGGCACTCGGAGCAGCCCTGCTGCCTGCCAAGGCCCCCGGGTTTGCGTCCCCCACCCCACAGCTCTGACCCCTGGCCTTGCGGAAGAGCTGGGCCTGCCCTGAGCAGAGCTGCCAGCTGCTGAAACCAATCTGCCGGGAGGGCTCAGTGTGGGGGTGGGACGGGGGGAGCCAGCCCCTCCCCCGGGAACCCAGAAGGCCGCTGACAGGGGATGCAGGAACCTTACCCGTGGCAGGCCCTGAGCTCTGCCCACACTGAGTCCCAGGTGTGGCACTCACAGGGTTAATGACTAGCCCCCTCCGTCCTGCAGAGAACGGGCCTCCTGCCCCCTCCTGCCCCGCGCGCAGAGGCCAGCTGCCATGGCTCTGGGGCGTGGGCACTGCCCACGGGGCAGCACAGGGCATGCGTGTGCGGGGCGATGATGCCCAAGTCCCGGACGAGCATCCCATGCAGCCGTGTTACCGGGTCCCACAAGCCCAGCTCCCGCTGACTCATGCGGGTAAAGCCCGTGGTAAAGATGTGTCCTTCCCGTGTGAAGACAGCCCGCATGGGCCTCATTCCTTCGTGGGGGGCAAACCTCTCCTGGGGAAGACAGGCAGCGTGTTACCGGGGGGGCCGCAGCGCGGGGGCGAGAGAGAGCCAGGCGCGGTGCATGGGGAGCCCACGCCCAGCAGGACCAGAGGCAGGCTGCGGTGCAGTGTCCAGCAGGGACAGCCCCTTTACCCCAGGCACTAGGGTGCGCTCTAGCAGAGCTGGCAAGGGAGTCGGCCCCGGCCACAGAAATAGAACCCAGGAGTCCAGTGTCCTAGCACCCTCTCCTCTGACCATTAGACCCCACTCCCCTGCTCTGAGCCCCCCCCTCATTCTCGCCTCCCCAGCACTGCAGCATCTGGGGCTGTCCCTGCAGGGCCTGGACCATTTGAAACGGGGCCAAGGCCCGGAGCGGGGTGCAGTTTCTAAGGCGCCGGGGAGCCCCCCAGGGGAGCTTGGGGCATTTCCTGTTCACACCAGCCAAGGCCTCCCTCTGTCACGCTGAGCAACGGGTCCCAGGCTCCGTGCCGAGCTGTCTCCGCCACGCACAGACGCTCGCTGGCAGAGCACCGGCTCGCCGCCCCGACAGGCATGCTAGACAAGAGCGGCGGGCAAGGCCTGGGGCGCGCAGCAATCGCCTCCTCCTACCAGGTCCCAGAGCGCCAGCTGCCGCTCACTCATCTTGCTGAAGCCTGTGGAGAAGATCTTGCCATCGGCCATGAAGATGGCTCTGACGGGGCGGGCACCTTCATGCGGCTTGACTTTCTCCTGGCACCGGCGGTTAGAGGGTTACAACCAAAACACAGGCACACACCAAGCTGTTAGTCCGAGGTGAGCCCCCGCATGCAGGGAGCCTGGCACGGCCTTCCCCCCACCCCCTCAGCCCAAATGGAGCAGACACTGAACAAACCCCAGCCATGAGCTGGGCAGTGGGTCCTGCTGGGGTGGCAGGACTGGATGGGCTCTAATCCCCACAGAGGGCACGGACAAGGCAGTGGCAGGGGGATCTTTGCCACCTGGTCCTGCCCTCTACGACAAGAGGGGTCTCCGTGCTCTGCCTCTGGGCTGAGCCTGCCAGCTGTGGGCATCCCTCCTGCCCCCTGCAAGTCATCAGCCCGTAGCAGCCGGGAGCTGGTGCCCTGCTCTTGAGCCCCGAGACCAGCCGGTCCAAGATGCCCTCGGCCACGGGGCTCAGGGCCAGTGCTCCGGCTGTGCAGGGCCTGGGTGTGATCATGCAGAGCCGGTGCCATGCACGGTTACAGGCGGGCACAGCTGGGCGTTAGCACTCAGCGCCGAGGGAGGGAGGGAGCTGTGGGCAAGGCGTGGAGCCAGCCTGCTGGGACATGGAGTAACCGCACGGCACAGCCATGCTCCCCTGGGGAGAGGGGCACTGAGGGGGGAAGCTGAGACACCAGGACAGCAGGCCGGCTCCAGCTCCCAGAGGAGAACACGTGGGGCGGGCAAGGAGGGGAGAGGGCCAGGTTGCTCAGAGCGTGGGGCGCCCCATGGACACGGTGTTGCTCCTAGCAGCAGCAGCGTGCGAGGGGCCCGGCTCCATGCCCGCCCCCCGGGGCCGGCCCGGGGCCGGAGGTGCTGAGGACTCACCGCCACCACCTGCTGCTTGCGGGGGTCGATGATGCGCACGTGCTTGTCCTTGCAGGTGGTGACGAGCAGGCTGCCGGTGCGGTTCCAGCCCACGTTGTAGATGAGGTCGCCATGCATGTCGTCCAGCGTCAGCAGCATCTCGCCCGTGCCCACGTTCCACAGGATCAGCAGGTTGTCTCCGCCTGGGGACGGGCGGGACGGGCGTCACTTGGGGGCTGCGCCCAGCCCAAGGGCTGCAGCCCGGGCACCCTGGGGGCCTTACCTGCGCTGAGCAGCACATTGCGAGCCGTGGGGTGCCACGTGATGATGCCCACTCTCTTGGAGTGCCCCTCCAGTGTGACGATGGGCTCCGTGATGTTCCGCATGGGCACATAGTCGGGGATCTGCCAGACCTGGGGAGCAGGGAGAGCGAGTGGCGGTGAGTCACACTCTCCGCAGGGGTCAGAGCCAGATGCAGGTGCAGGGAGGGGCACGCAGGGGCCTGCGGGGGTCAACGAGGCTATGACATTTATGGGCTCAGGAGCTGTAAGCGGCTAAGAGCCCCAGAGCCAATTAACTTCTCCCTTAATCCTCTGGCATGTCACCCTGCCCCGGGCAGCTGTGGAGACAGGGAACCATGCCTGAGGCTCTCCGGGCCCCTAAAGACACTGGCCTGGGGCCCCCACAACCTGCCCGTCGTCCTCCCCCTCCCTCCCTCGCTGTGAAAGGGAACAGGAGCACATGGGGTAGGAAACCAGGGACCGGCCTTGCTGCACACTGCAGGGGGGGCAGGCCCCCAGGGACAGCCCCTCACTAGCATTGCCCTGGGGTGTTGGGGCGACAAGGGCTGGATCCCAGCCTGGCCTGTCTGAGGAGCCCGTGGGTCTCCCATTTCCGGCTGCTCCTGCCACCCCCGTGCAACCAGACGCCCCCAGGAACGGCCGGCTGCACTAGGAGGTCTTCTGCCACCCCCGCGGCCGCCTGCTAGAGACAAGGGGGAGCCACAGCCCCCCGAGCAGCGGGTGCTGCACTGGCCCCCCCCAGATCTTCTCTCTGCTCCAGCTCGGCCTCCCATGTGGCTATTCTTAGGTGCTGAGTCAGGCAGGGAGCGCCGCATCCCCCACACCGGCAGGCACCAGCCAGCCACGTGCCACCTGACTAAAAATAGCCCCCACACTTCCAGTGATTTCAAAAGGAACAGCGCTGAGCCGGAGCACTGCCCCCCCAGCCACCTGGCCCCCAATGCAGCCCCCCAGCCCCCCTTGCTGCAGCCCCCCCAGCCACCTGGCCCCACTGCAGCCCCTCAGCCCCCCTCACTGCGGCCCCTCCAGCCACCTGGCCCTCGCTGCAGCCCCCCAGCCCTCCTCACCGCGCCCCCTCCAGCCACCTGGCCCTCGCTGCAGCCCCCCAGCCCTCCTCACCGCAGCCCCCCCAGCCACCTGGCCCCACTGCAGCCCCCCAGCCCCCCTCACTGCGGCCCCTCCAGCCACCTGGCCCTCGCTGCAGCCCCCCAGCCCTCCTTGCTGCAGCCCCCCCCCAGCCACCTGGCCCTCGCTGCAGGCCCCCAGCCCCCCTTGCTGCAGCCCCCCCCCCAGCCACCTGGCCCTCGCTGCAGGCCCCCAGCCCTCCTTGCTGCAGCCCCCCCCAGCCACCTGGCCCTCGCTGCAGGCCCCCAGCCCCCCTTGCTGCAGCCCCCCAGCCACCTGGCCCTTGCTGCAGGCCCCCAGCCCCCCTTGCTGCAGCCCCTCCCAGCCACCTGGCCCTCGCTGCAGCCCCCCAACCCCCCTTTCTGCAGCCCACCCAGCCACCTGGCCCCCAATGCAGCCCCCCCACGGCAGCAGCCTCACATGCACATTTCTGCAGCAACTCTCCAATGCATTCACCCCTCAGCCCCCGAAACCAACCTTGTCACGCCCCACAGCACCCTTCCCTCCCCTCCAGTACCGTCCCCGCAGCCCATGCTCCCCATTTCCCCCCAAGCCCCCCACCCGTGAGAGGCCCTGAGCTCAGCCCCCGGCCCCCATACCATGACCGTGGTGTCCTCGGAGGCACTGGCGATGACGTTGTCATTGTGAGGGCACCAGTCGATGTCCAGCACGGGTGCCGTGTGCCCGGTCACCAGGGGATGGTTCTTATCCACGCGCCCTGTCTGGAACACACAGGCAGGGCAGTGAGCTGGGGCCAGCTGGCAGCGCCCTGTGCCTCCCGCCCCTGCCCCACAGCCAGTGCCCCATCGCGCTCTGCCCCGCCCGTGAGGAGCACCGAGCTTCCCGGCCCCCCAGCTGCCGGTACCTGGGGCCACGTCTATGGGCAGCCAGCGCTGGGCAGAGGGACCTGACGGCACGTGGGCGGAGCACAGCCTCCTCCCCATGCCAGGATACCGGCTGCAGTACCTTGGCCCCTCTCACCATGCCCTGGGCCGGGTCCTGGACTCGCCGAGGGGAGGGGGGCTCCAGTGACTGAGCTGGGGGGTGTCAACACAGATCCCAGTGGGACAGGTGCCCACATCCCCACACGACTAGTGTCCTCGGCACTAACCACCCCTCCCTGGTAGCGCCCTCAGCAGAGGGGCCAGGGCCTGGCTGGGCCCCGCAGCCTGAGTCTCCCTCTTCCCCAGGGCCAGGCAGAGCACAAGGAGGGCTCACCCCCGGGGAGGCTGAGACCGGCAGTGCCCTGCACCCCTCTGGCTTCCCTCCCGCAGTGCCCAGTTGACTCTAGACAACTGCTGTCAGCAGGAGCGTCTGACACACACCCCAGGCCCTACCTCCCTGGGGAGCAGCTAGCGGGTGGCATGGGCACTGGGCAGAGACCACACTGGGAGGCAGGACTCCTGGGTCCCCTTCTCAGCCCCGCGCCCGCTCACATGCAGGGACCGGGCAGAGCGTGGGGAGATGGCGATGGGCGCACGAGGGCGGGCGGGGTCTAGTCCCGGGCCAGCCTCACCCCAGCGCCAGTCACCCCGTGGCAGGGGTAGGGCGGAGAGGGGACACAGGGCCCTGGAGAGGCGGGCAGCGGAGTGCCACTCTGCAGAGTCCAAATCGCTCTGGCCTAGGCAGAGTGAATGGATCCAGCCTGATTCGGCTCCAGCAGCTCTGACGTCACATGACCCCGAGAGCGTCGGCGGAGCTGCTCCCCGCCGTGCCAGCGGAACGTGCGGGCAGGAGGGGGTGGGGTCAATTTGACACACACCCCTGTGCCATCCTCTCTCAGGCTCTCTCCCACCAGGGCCTAGGGTGGGTGCAGGCGCCTAGCTGGGAGAGGCTCTCATGCATGCTCCAAAAAAGCCAAGGACCCCACCCCAGCTCCCCAGCGCCCCTCCCGCCAGCCAGCCAAGCTGCACTGGGTCAGAAACATCACCCTCTGTGCGGGGGAGGGGGAGACCTGCAGGGCCCTCCCCTAGCATCTCCTATACACTCACCGACCCCCAATTCCCTCGCCCCCTGGCGCTGACCCCAGGCAGATGGGGGCACCCAGCTCCCACAGGGCAGGCCCAGGTTTGTCACTCAGAGCCAGCCCCCATCTTGCCTGGCCACAGCTCCTTCTCAGCCCGTAGATCTCAGAGCGCTGCTTGAAGCAGCATCACTCCCACTGCACAGAGGGGAAACTGAGGCACGAGGCAGGGGACAGGTCTTCCCCAAGGCCCTGCAGTGAGTCAGTAGCAGAACTGGAAATGGAACCCAGAGGTCTGGACTGACAGTCCCCTACAGTGTCTTCTCCGGTCAGAGCGGGCGGAGGTTTGGACTCAGGACTCCTGGGTTCTAAGCCCAGCTCTGGCACTGACTCACCATGTCCTGTCCCCTCACTAAGCCTTAGGAAGGAGCCCCCCACAAGCAGGCTCTGACCCGCCTGCCCCTTCCTGTGCCCCCCCTCTGCTGTAGGGCACAGCCCCAGCCCCTCCCTTGGCCAGTGAGCTGCACACACCAGGGCAGCGCTGTCCAGCTGGAAACTCGAGCTGTGGAAAGAGTGACCCCGTGGTTTCCTGCTGTCCGCTCGATTGTTCCTGGTATGAGTCACACGTTATTGTGAGCACAGCCTCCCCGCGCCGGACAACTGCTCCAATCCATCTCTGCCCGGAGCCCGCCTGGCCACGGGCAGCCTGGCGTGGGTGGGGGGAGCCCGGTCAAGGTCACGACCTGCGGGTGCTGGTGAATGGAATCCCCAATGCCCAGAAAGGCTGGTGAGCACAGGAGGGGGCGGAGGGGAGTGGGCCCAGAGGCAGGGGACAGGCAGGTGGATGGGGCAGTGCTGGGGACCAGACAGGATGGAGTGAGAGAGGATGATGGCCAGAGCCCAGGAGCTGAGAGAAGCTTGTAGCCCGGGGAGGCGGGGGGCAGCAGGAGCAGGACAATGATCTTACCAGAGTAAAATATCCCAGAACCGCTGGGACAGACCCCGACGCTCAGGGCCAGGGCAGGATTGGGCCCCGTTCTATAGCCCCACTGCTTAGCCCGATGCCCACTCCCAGCAGTAGCTCACCCACCTGCCCCACTGACAGGCCCTGTTGCAGTCTGGCTGCCCCCAGCATTGCTCGAGGGCTAGCAGGAGCTGGGCAGGGGGCCCAAAGTCCTGCCCCACCCTCTCTGCTCCTCCTCCTGTCTCCCAGCCAGGCTTCCGGGCTGCTCCCCCCGGCCCCCCAGGAGGAAGGCAGCACGGGATGCACCTCCCCAGCCCTCTTGACTCACCGGCAGCTCCTGCCTGCTCGCTCGTGGTGCCCGAACCGGGGCTGGCTACGAGAGCCATGGAGCTTTCGGACCCTGGGCCGGGAGGCACCCCCCTCCCAGGGCAGGTCACACACACCTCCCTCTACAGCTGCAGAACAAGCCAGTCCCCAGAGCCCTGATGGATTCCCTGAGCAGCCCCTGGCGCTGTGTGCCAATCACCCAGCCCTCCTGCTGCTACCCACTCCAGCGCCCATTCACGCCCCCGGGACAGCATGCCCTGCCGGGGCCAGTCACTCTCCAATGGCCGAGTCTGCACCCAGAGGTGCGGGGCCCAAGCCCACCGGCAAGGCACGAGGGGTTCAGAGTGGCTGGCTGGGAAAGAGCACCGTGCTCTTGGAGGGGGCCTACAGGCGCCCCACAGCATGGCAGCTCCTGCCCGCTGGCTCCTCGAGAGCTGCCCCATGTGCTGTGGGGAGGCGGGGGGTTCCCTCGCTAACAAACCCCGCTTGCGGCAGCTGCTGCCTGAAAGGAGCTGCCCTCGGGCAGCGTGGCCAGGCTGTCCCCAGCATCAGAGCCAGGTGCCCGGTTGCTAACTCCCCTCTGCCTGCGAGCTCGTGCCACAGGGGTGAGGGTAGAACCCACCCACGAGCCGCGTAGAGAAAACCCCACAGCCAGGCTCTGCTGCGGGCCCCTAACGAGCCCCACGCACGGCACATCAACCCAGCCCAGCCCTGGCAACATGGGGCTGCTGTGTGGAGCCAGCGGGCTGGGAGCTGGGCTGTGCTCTCCCGGCCATGGCCCCACAGCCCCAGGCCCCCGGGACAGGGTCCAGGAGTCACCAAGTTTCCTGAGCCTGCCCAGCTCCCTGCCCGGCCGGCTGCCCCGTGCCAGCGCTTGGGGGAGGCCAGGGCAGGACGGCCGGAGAAGCGGGCAGCCCACGATGGGGACTCAGACCAACCCAGCCCCATCGCCATGGCAACGCACAAGGATGCTCCCAGCTCCAGGCCTGAGACTGCAACAAAGGCCTGGCAGCTGCTCCCGCCTGCCGGCCTGGGGGAGGGGCTGGCAGATGCCCCCCAACGGCACCGCCCCCAGCCAGGCCAGCTGGACTCACGAGCCCGGCTGCCATGCAGAGAGGGAACTCACCGCTCCCTTCTCCCTGCCCTGCTGCTGCTGCTTGGCTCTGCCAGCCAGGGGCCACCACGCAGGCTGGGGCTCTGCACAGGAAACATGTCCCGCCTGGGGCAGCCCCCCCAGCCTGCCCCCCACGGGCCCTGGCGGCTGCCGTGCCCCTCCCCCCAGCAGCCCGGAGCATTACACAGCACCCAGCCTTCTCCACCAGCGCCCCACTGCGGGGAGCCCAGCAAGCCGGCGGGTGAGCCCATCCCCTGCCCACTCCTGGCCTGGCCACACCAGCCACTCACTCACCTTGGCCAAGGGCAGCACCATGAAGGCCCCTCCGCCGCCGGACTCCACGATGATGGCCACGAACTTGGGGTTGACAGCGCAGAAGGAGCTGTCCCATGTCACCTTGGACACCCGGATGTCCTCGTACATCTGGTCGGCCTTCACCGGCTGCCCGAAGACGTGCCGGAACTTACTCTGGCGCACCACCCTGCGGCTCATGGCTGGCGGGAGATGGGGGGATCAGCGAGGGAGCAGGCCCCCAGCACCATCACTCCCCTCCCTGCCTGGCCTCCCCAGCCATCCACCAGCCTCGAGTCCCCAGGACACAGCAGGCCCCTGCGGGCTCCAGCCCAGCAGAGCTGTGGGGGAGCCCAGGGCCAGACTAGCAGGGGAGCTGGTTGGGGGCCCATGAGAGGAGCTCTCTCTGAATGTGGATTCCAACCTCTCCCCTCCCCAGGCACCTCAGAGGGTCTGGCTGGTGACAGCAAGTGAGCGGGGTGAAGAGGCTGCTTGGTGTCTGTGCCCCATGCCAGGGCCCCACTGCTTAGCTGGGAGGCAGCCTGCAGCAGGGAGTTCCCATAGTGCCAGCCCCCCATCCCAGCTGCAGCAGGAGCTCTGCAAGAACCCTTAGCTGCAGCACCGCGCCTCCATTAGAAGACCAGCAGAGGCAACACCTGGAACTGAGAGAGATGCTGGGGAGCCAGGCAAAAGGGAGCAGGGAGCATCCCTCCTCAGGCTTGCGGAGCTCTGCTTCCCCTGACCCCATCCTCTCTCCTAGGACAGAGCGGAGGGACGGAGCCCAGCCCAGAGAGCAGGTGCAGCCCCATGGGCCTACAGGGCTCTGGATCCCTACTGCCCTGGGTCAGCCCATTGCCCCCATGGTCCCACGGCCACTGCCCTGACCATACCCCAGTCCTGGTCAGGCAATTCCATTCAGACTCCCTACCACCAGGCCCCCCACAGCCTGTTGGATCAGAGATTTTGCATCACTTCCTTCCCCAAACTGCTGGCAGCATTGCCGTGTAGGCATTAAACAGCCACCACATTAGCTTTCAGAGGTGGCTGCATGTGAGTGGTGGGTAGATGGTTTCCCACCCCAAGAGTTCTCGTCCGGAAAGCCCAGGGACATGGCCGGGGGGGGGCCTCCCTTGTCTGGGTGGATGCAGCCGCAGAGCATCACCGCCATCCTGGCAACTGTGAAAGTGACAATGCTGCCCCCCAGCCATTCCCTGGGGGTCCCCAACGCTGCCCCCTGGTGGGAAGCGTCAGCAGCACCGTGGTGTTGGAAGGCACCTGTGGCTCGGGGCGACAGCATGTCTCCTCAGCAACACCAGCTGCTGCAAGCGCATGGTCCTGCGCTCTGCGCTGGCCTCCTCGGGGCTGGAGCACCCAAGGAAACAAAGTACTGGGTGCTCAGCACCCACCAGCCAGACTTGGGGGAGGGCGGAGAGCAGCGAGCGGGTGAGGGCCTCGGGGAGGGAAAGGAGTGAGGGCAGGACTGAGGGGGAGGGAAGAGGTGGAACAAGAGTGGGGCCTTGGAGGAAGGGGTGGAGTGGGGGCAGGGCCTCAGGGTGGAGCACCCGTAGGGAAAAGTAGAGGCTGGCCCCTATGGCTGGCCTCCCATAGAAGAGAGTTAAGGGCAGGGTCTCGGGCCCGATTTCGAGGTGCTCTGCGGCCTGGACTCAGCGTATCTAGAAGGGCCTACGGCTCCGGGCTGGGCACTGAGGTCCGTAACTCCAGCCCTCGGGCCCGTGGAACTTTCTACCACCGGGGCAGAGCCCAGCTGGGCAGCAAACAGAGCGTCCTGTGGGGCCGGTCCCAGACCGCGGAACAACCCCCCAGGAACTCAGGGCCACCCCAAACCTCCCCAGGGGCCCTGCTCCCACCGGCCTTCTCTGACACAAACCCAGAGCAGGGGGGCCGTACGGGAGGGGAGGAACAGGCTGCTCCGCCGCTCACACAGCTCTCTCCCTGGGGAGAAGAAGAGAAAGAAGGAACCACGGGCTGTCACTGGACAGCGCTCGGACACTGTGGTGATGAGGGTGAGCCCTGCAGAGCAGGGCAGGGGGCACCTGAGATATGCAGTGGCCTGGGGCTACAGGGGCCACTGGCTCCCATGGTGGGGGGCTGAAAGGGCTGGGAAGGTGGCCACTCGCCTGTAAGCTGTCTGGGCTGTGTTCGTACCGCGCCTGGCACAGGCGGTCTCCGGGTGCGACCGCCACGTAACCAAACACAACAGGGACTTCCAGGGGCGGAAGATGGTACAAAACAGGGGGAGGGCAACCTAAGGGGTGGTCTTTCTGCGTGAGTCTGCCTTGGCATGCCAGCGTGCTCGCCCGCCTGGCCCTCCTCATGGCCTGCCATGGCTTTGCCAGGCCTGGCTGCTTAGCCACATCCCATCCCCGAGGGAAGGAGGGAACCAGGATTCCCTGGAAGCCATCTGCTGCCAGGCTGTTGCTGGGCTCCGTGGGAAGCTGGCATACCCAGTCCAGCATGGCCCCACACGGGGCAGTGTCCATCCACCTGCCCCTCTGAACGCTGCTTCCTCTGGGGGGCTGATGTTCTCCGCCAAGGCTAATCCATGCAGCAGGCCGAACCCCGGGCTAGGGGCAGCCATGAAATCGGACATTGCTCTCAGCCCCTGGCCTGTCACGCTGTGCTGGGGCTCTCTGCCTGGCCCCCTTCCCATCCCCTGCACTCCACTCAGTGCCCAGAGGAATAAACCTCCCAGGGACGCTGAGCCACGTTAGACCAGATAACGAACACTCAGCCTTCCGCAAGCTCCTAGTGCCAGCGCGTTGCCCCACGTCACCCCCACTTCGCAGGTGGGGAAACTGAGGCAAGGGAAGGGACGCGACTTGCCCAAGGTCACCCATCAGGCCAGTGGCAGGGCCAGGAATTAAACCCAGGTCCCAGCTGCACGAGCCCTTTGGCCCAGCGGTTCATTCATTCTCCAGTCAGCACTGGGGCGAGTGGCCTGCACAGGCCTAGGCCAGGGGGAATCATGCCCATCTTTACCCCAGGCTCGGCCCCCCCGGACCTAGGCTGAAGGGGCACCTCACCCTACGCAAGGCTGGGGCTGCAGAGCTGTGGGGGGCTCTGCTCTGCCCCCCCAGTGCAGCGTGCGGGACTCTGGGGTCACCCCCAGCTCCCAGCCCAGCCAGCCTCCCTCCCTCCGCACTGAGCACAGGACCCAAGGGCCACACTGGCCGCATGGCACCCGGGGGCCGCGCCTGCCCACGCGCCGACATCCTACAGACACCGCTGGGGGGAGGGCACAGTCCCAGCACCAGCCACCCCCCCGCCAGCCCTGCGCCCCTGGCATCCCCACCACACACAGCACCTCCTGCGTCCGCCCCCGCGGGGCCCGGCAGGATGGGGGGGGCACGTCGGTGATTATCTGCCCTGCTCCCAATTCAGTCCCGACGGCAAAGCCCCGCCTGCCCCCAGGAAAGGGGCCCTGGGCAGCTCCACAGCCCGGGGTCCCGCGCCCTCCCCGCGCCCCGGGGACCCTCTGCGGGCCCCGCTCAGCCCGGACGCCGCAGCAGCTGGAGGAGGAGACGCTGCGGCGGGGGACGAGCCAGGGTCACTGTCCTAATATAGACACGTCTCCGCCAGCCCGGGCCTGCGGGGGGGCCCCGGACCGTCCGCACGGGGACCCCGCGAGCCGGGCCGGGCCGAGTCGAGCCGGGCCCCCCCACCCAGCCACCCTGGCTGCCCGGGTACCGGCTGGCAGCCCCCCCACCCCCAGCCCAGCAGCAGCTGCCCGGCCCCATGGGGCGGGCGCGGGCCGGGGCCCCTCTCACCTGCTCCGGGGCGGCGCGGTGCGGGGCGGTGCGGGGCGAGCTCGGCTGCAGCCCGCCGGGGCGGCTCGTCTCGGGCTCCGGGCGGAAATGGACGAAGCGCTTCGTGCGGCTCCAGCCGGCCCAGCCCGCGGCAGCTGCTGCCAGCCACGTGCGGCCGGGCTCGGGGAGCCGACAGCTGCGGGGCTGGCGCGGGGGGGCCGGGCAGAGCCCCGGCGGGGAGGGGCCGGCTGGGCACCAGCTGCTGCCCCAGGGAAAGGGCTCCCCCCTCCAGCTCCCCCCCGAGCTCCCCCAGCCCCAGGGAAAGGGCTCCCCCACCGAGCCCCAGGGAAAGGGCTCTCACCCAAGCCCCCAGGAAAGGGATGCTCCCCAGCTCCCCCACCGAGCCCCAGGGAAAGGGCTGCCCCCCAACTCTGCCCTCCAGCCCCAGGGAAAGCGCTGTCCCCCAAACTCTCCCCAAGCCCCAGGGAAAGGGTTGACCCCCAGTGATCCCTCCCTGCAGCCCTAGGCAGAGACACAGTGGGACGCCCCCCTTCTGGCGGGCAGTGCCCAGCAGCTATGGGGTGTAGGGGGACACACTCCTGTCGGGGGGGGCTCAGGAGGACGGAAGGGGGTGGTCCTTTGGAACCGGAAGGCCCCTGCCTGGCTGGGTCGGCTCAGAGGGTTTGGGTGTCACCCAAACAATCCACTGGACAAACCTAAGAGCAAATTGCTGGTCCCCCCCACCCCCACTTGTCTGAGTGGGGCCCAGCCATGGGGGGGGGGCAGTGAAATCGTTATAAGAGCCAGCAGATGGGCTGTGGCTTGTGGGCTACAGCCCTGGTGTTGACTGGCGGGACCCCCACTGACAGCTGGAGCTCATGGGGCGGGAGGCTGGATGGGCAGGCGGGTGGCAGCAAGCTCTCGGCTCGGCCCCAGAGCAGACAGCCACAAGGGGCCAACACACCAGACCGTAACGACTTTCCCCTCCCCCCTCCATCACGCCAAGGGAAATGGAGGCACAGGGAGCAGGGGAGTGTGACAGGGTCACGGGGGAGCCAGGGGCTGGCAGGAATAGAGCCCCAGAGCCCCACCTCCCCATCTCTGCTCCAACCACCAGGGATGCCACTCGTGCGGGCACATGTCCCGAGTTGCATCCCCTGCTGGCTCCAGCAAGCTGAGCACCCAGAGGGGAAGGGGCAGCATCGGGGGCCTGCACCACCAGCCAAGCAGGATCTTGACCCTGCAGGGATGCGTCCCAAGCCCCAGTGGAGGGAAGAGGGGATTGCTGTGGGAGCAGAGGGTGGGGATATGGGGAGCAGCCACACACCCCTTCCCCGAGCAGCGTTGGGGTCACCGCAGCAGCTACAAAGAAGGACGGTTGCTGGTTGCAGCAGCTCCTCACAGGGAGGGGTGGAGGACACAGCCCAGCACTGGCTGGCTGTCAACACCTGTGATGGGCCAACTCACCCATGGGTCCCACCCCAGCAGCCAAGCCCCCCACGAGGCACTGGAGAAAGTGCAAACCCTCCCAGCCAGCCCACAGCCCAAGCACGGCCTGTGACACCCCATCAGGGCAGCTCCTAGAGCCCCCGAGGCTGGCGACTCTCAGGCCCTGACAGACAAGGCCAAGGTGTGGGGAGCAAATGGAGGCTCAGAGCAGAGCCAGGAGAGAACCCAGGTGTCCTGCTCCCAAGGCCCCCCTCTGGCAGTGCTGCCCTGCACGGGGCTGGGCACTGGTGGGGGATAAGCCAGGGCTCAAAACCCGCCAGGAAGCACTACTCCAGGTCAGAGGGGCCAGGGGGAAGGAACAGGCCCAGGTCCCCTGCTGGGCACAGCACAGCCAGAGCCCTTGGCCAGGGTCCTGGCGCCAAATGGCACCAGCGCAAGGCATTCTGGGAGAGCCCGATGCTACTGGGGCGCTGTCTGCTTGGCTGCAGGCCAGGAGCAAAGCCGCAGGCAGCAGCGTTCCCGGCACGCCAGCAAACCCTCAGCCCGGCAGCCGCCCTGGGGGATTAAGGGGATTGTGGGGCTCAGGCCAGCCAACGAGGGAAGTGATGCCCTGGCTCCGAGAGTGGCAAGGGCCCTACAAGGGCACCGAACACAGCTGCATGAGCATTGGCCGAGCTGCACAGACCCAGACCTTTGGGGACTGGGTGAGTGGGAGCGAGACAGGACGGGCATGCCCCTAACTCTCCCACTCCCAGCACCTGGCCCGGGCCGGCACTGCTGACGGAGGGCAGGGTCACCTCAGGAGCTGCGCCAGCCCCCGAGGGATAAGGGCAGAGACCCTGGCCCTCTGCTCAGTAGGGGGCAAGGGGACTATGGCATGGAGGCAGGGCCCGGGCCTGCCCTTTGCTCTCTCTGCCGACCCTGCAGCAGGTGGCTACTGCAGAGGTGCCCCCCAGGCCAGCAGGGACATGAGGGCCCTGGCTGCACAGGAACCGCCCTTCTCCTGTCTCCCACCTGGCTCCCAGATTGTCCGTGCGGACACCTGTGCTCTGAGAAAAGCCTGGTGGCGCCCAGTGCGTGGGCTTCAGCCTCCTCTGGCTCTTGCTGGCCCAGGCAGGCCGCACAGCCGCCAGGGCTGCAGGAGGGCCAGGCCTCATGTCCCAGGGTCAGCACAGCATGGGGGAGGTAGGAACGTTCCCCTTATGCCAGCCTGGCATTCAGGGAGCAGGTGAGAGGACAGGGCCATGGGAAAGCCCTGACCACAGCCCCTCTGCCACGGGCACAAGGGAGTGAGTTTGGAGCCAGCTCAGCCCAGCCACCCCCTTCCATCCCACTGCTCTCCTCTGCGCCACCTGTTTGCCAGCCGCTGCAGCAACTCTGGCCCTGGCATTAGCACCGGGTGAGCCAGTGAGAGGGGAGCTGGCCCTAGGGCAGGGGCTCAGGACCTGCCACAAGGGGGCAGCAGGCAGAAGAGACTATGCTGGGTAAAGGGATTTGCTGGGGAAGCTGGACCATGCAGGGTTATGGGCAGGGAGCCTGGCTGTGAGAGGCCCAGAGTGGCAGGCTGGCCAGGGGCCAGCAGTTTGGGTGGCTGGGGAAGGGGTCTGGCCCTGCAGCTGAGGACCCGGCCCTCACCTGTGGACCCATTGGAAGGAAGCACGGCAGCGGCCAAGGGGAGGGTGAAGGCTGATGCTGGAGGGCAGCCAGTGAGAGGAGGGGCTGATGCCCATTGGGGTGTTGGGGGGTTGTTGGAAACCTTTTTGCCATGCTGGTGATTTAGTTTGGGGCCCGGGGTGAGGATTGGATGCTGCTTTCTAGTGTAGGGGATTTGTTCTGGTGGACGTTACTTTATATTATTGGCCCCGCCACCGTCCTGAGTTTTTCCTTGCTAACATTGGAAGGTTTTCTCCATGGGGCTGGGGTGCCCCCATCTCCCCCCACAGGCAGAGCCCATCCAAGGCCTGGGCGACTGCACAGCTGCTTGGCCCACTGTGCCTGCCTGGTGCCAAAGGCAGTGACCTGGGAGCAGCCTGCCAGAGAGTTACCCAGCAGCCTAGGGCAGGGAGGGGACGGGAGAGAAGGACCGAGGAACAGCCACTTGGGCAGGAGCCGTTCCACGCCTCCTGGGCAGACCTACGCCAAGAGATTTCACAGAGGGCACCAACGAGCCATCAGGCACCTTAGGGCTGCTGCCCTGGGCCAGATGGGAATGGGCTGTTGGGGGGGGGGAGGGGAGGGAGGGAGATCCTTGCTCTGCAGCCACCTGGCTGCGGGGGACACAGGTGCCAAACACAAGGCAGTGGAATCCTCCCAGCTGCCCAGGGTAAAGCTGACAGCAAGGGCCCAAACAGCAGCAGTACCTGGGGGTTAAGGAGGTACCAATGCACCATCCCTCTAAGCTGGCAGCTCACCCCTCTTGCAGCAATGCTGCTTGCCACAGTGCCCCAGCCTTCCTGGGGTGGCAGAGCCCAGGCCAGAGGTACGGGCCTGGGGCATTGCATGAGCCTTGCCCCAAGAGTAAGGCAGGAATTCTGACTGATCTCCCTCCCCAACCCGCTCACCCTTGGTCTCTCTGCCTGCAGCCTGCGCCATCCCGGCTGGAGAGCTCCCGGCCCAAGCAGGCCGGCTTTCCTGGCGTTTCCTTTGTTTCCATGGCAGCACAGGCTGCATTAGCGCTGTGTGGCGGAGGCTCCTTGGGGTGGGTAACAGGGACCTGCCTTTGCCCCCTGCCCTGCCGGAGGGACTTGTCCAAAACCAGAAACAGGCTGACACCCAATGCTCGGGGGTGGGAGGAGAAGCTGCTTCCTGCCCTTGCACAGCTCTTGCTCTACACGGGAGCAGTTCTTTCCCAGCAGCGTCCTCTGGCCTAGGCCAGCTGGTATCGAGCCCACCATCCTCGCACAGCCCCAGGGGAGGCTGGTCCACGGCGGTGTTCTAGGCCACATACAGCAGGGAATAGAGCCGGGGCAGCACCCCGGACACGCTTTGGGGGGGAGGGAGGGGCACAGGCTTTGAGGCGGCCAGGCCAGGCGCTTTGGGTTAAGCGAATCCCCACCAACTCCTTTTCTGGGATGTTTTGTGTGGGAGGCTGGTATGTGTCCTCAGCCCAACAGGGCCATCATAGTGCAATCAGCCTGTAGGGCACCTGGAGGACAAACATGAGGACAGAGGCCAGTGCCCAGCGACAAAGGAAAGGAGGAAGAAGGGGAAGGTCGCCCACGTGTGATTTGCTGGGGATGCATTTTGCTCTTACAGCTAGAATCCCAGTCCTTCTCCTTGGTATGCAAGTCCAGACCCCACCAGGCCCCTAACACGGGCCCTGCAACACCTCAGTGCTTCTTAAGCCTTTGCGTTTAATAGTTTGGTTTAACCACTGTTCCCTTCAGTTCCCTCCTCTTCCCCTTTGATCCACTAGCCCAGTCGCTGCCTTTGGACAAGCTGCAGAAGCCAGACCCCTCCGTGGGCGGCTCCGAGTGCCAGCCGTACCCCAGCTAACAAGGGAATCCTAACGCGGCTGGATCGACGCCTCATCCCTGCAGGATGGATCAGGAAATCAGGGCGGGAGGAGGCAGTGATCCTTTCTTAATTAAACCCAAAGCATGCAAGATAGCTGCCCCCCGGAAACTGAGGCACCCACACATGCTTCATCCTGAAAATAAAAATTTATTCAGTAACAAGAACATTGAATCTGCACGTCCGTGCAAGAG